TCGATCGGTCGACGGTTCTGGTCATGACGACTCCGTAGGGCTCGCGGACGTCTATGGGACTATCATTCGACTCATAGACGAGCACGATAGGTCGATGCGTCTTCTCAGCGCCAAAATGTCGAAACTTCACGCGGAGCAGATGGAGGCTCTAGGGAGCTGTCTCCAGAGTTTCCAGACGTGAGTTTCACTCTGTCGCGGCGACTACATTTCTGACCAATTACCCAGCCATCGTTCGTTGTCACCGGCTCGAAGAGGCAGCGACTCAGCAACAGTACCACTGATGCGGCCCCGGGTGAGTCTCGCAGTTATATTCTCGTGTCGCGACACTTCGCTAACCGATTGACAGCGTCCGCGTCCGACCGAAGGTTTATTGCGGACCGAGTGCATCGACATCAACTGTACCGGTTGCGGCGGTCCATTCCACTCGAGCTCCTCATCGAGGAACGCGACTACGTCACGTCGCGGCTAGAGGAATGGAAGACCGCTCTCAAGGACGTCAAGGAAGCCATTGACCTCTCGATGTCGAAGAATGCGGCCTAATTTTTCATAATATGCACTCTCCTTCCATATGTCTCTTTCTCTCTTGTCATTTATTTATGAAGTCGCGTCTCTTCTTCTCGCGCACCTCCTTTATGACCTTTTTCTTTTAGATACAACCCAGTATAGTCCTTAGGTACCAGCTAGCACCCAAGCAATATACTGAATTCTATCTAAAACTGAGAGAAGCGACGTCTTGTCGTGTGAGAGCCTGCCGCGACAATTACTTGCGCGCCAGACTTTCACTCGACAGAAGCTGGATCCTCTACAGGGTCGTCGTCGTCGTCGCTATCCGAGTTCTTCAGTTTCACACCTTCGAACTGGTAGTCGCGGACGTCAGATATTTCCTCCACCAACTCATCGAGTTTAGCAGGCGAAATATCTATCAGCTTCTTTATATCTTCAGAGAGTGTCAACTTCTGTCTTGCCAAATAGGGTATTACTCGGAACGCCGCGACTTTCGCATGGAACATCGCACCGTTCATTTCACAGACCAAGTAAGAACCTCCTTTGGTCTTTCGAACTACAATCATGGGTCCAAGATATCTAGCTTTCATCTTGTTGTCCAATGACTTTTCAATAGCTGTGTTCCTGACCAACACTAAGTCCCCTGGTACAAACTTGTAATCTTTGATCACATGCTCGTACTCGAGTTCGTAGCGTTGAACCATTTTTAGTTTGGCGTCGCTGACGCGGCTGCGCATATCTTCAATATGGTCGGCGTGTTTCGCTAGAGCGCGTGCCCTGAGACCAATGAGATCCGCAGAGTCGACGATCCGGTCAGGATATTCGACTAGCCACGTAGCTTCGACTATATCCAGAGGGATGGTAGGGTGGGCCCCACATACTGCGAAGTATGGTGAACAACCCAGCCCGCGACGCACTGTAATTCTATCTGCCCACAAGACCTGTGGGAAGAACCAAAACCATTTGGAGGCGTTTCCCCCAGTGGCTTTGTACAGTGACTGTCGAATGTCCCAATGTCCCCTTTCAACAGTGCCATTCGCTTGGGAATTGTAAGGAGATATCCTTATTCCCTTGATACCATACTTCTTTTGTAACCAATTCAACGCCGCGACAAATTGTCCTGCGTTATCGGTTACAATCCACTTAGGACACCCCCAGCGACACACTATGTCCTCGAGCAAGAAACGTGCGATTGCCTTGGCATTGTCAGCCTGTAGCGGTCGCGCTTCCACGTAGCGGGTCAAAGAATCCCTTGCTGCGACGACATATCTGTATCCGTTGGAAGGCGTTCCCATAATCATGACGTCTGTATGTATTTTCTGAAATACACTTGGAGTCATTGTCGGCGTCGGTGGAGTACGGAGGAGAGTTTTCTGGCGGACTTGGCAGCTATGACAAGTCTTTATCCACCAGTCGACGTCTCTTTCCATTTCTGGCCACCAAAACCGAGTTTCCAACAGGCTCTTAGTGCTGAAAAGACCCTTATGACCCAGCGCGTCGTGACACGCCTTCATCATATAAGTCCTGTGGCGCTTGTCCACGACCAGTCTATGAATCCCATTGGTCGATCTCTTGTACATTTTTCCATCTTTGAGGAAAAACTGTCGCGAGAATTTGAGAAACGATCTGAACCGTTTGTCTGTCATTTCAGGCCTTGTGGAAGTGTCTTTCAACCACTTCCTAGCCATTACCAACTTATTGTCTTGCTCAATCCCTGTGCCCGTCCGGTGATCCTCAATGTAGGGATCCTCAGGATTGTCGCGCAGTTCGAGATCAGGCAAAAGTGGTTCTCCGTTTGCCACATCGTTCAACATGAAGACTGGGACGACGAGTCCTTGCGCGTCATATGCGTCTTTGACACGCCGATTCTCAGCGCGACGAGAGTCGCAAGCTTCGACTAGCTCTTTGCATATGTCGTCGACCGACTCAGCACACCCGACCATAGAGTTAAGGTAGCCACCTCTGGTGTCAATGTCCCTTTTGAACTCTTCAAAGTCTAATGGTTGCTCTGTGTCGTAGTCCCAATTCTCGTTGTTCTCTGGTGGTGGCTCGTCGAAGATTTCCTCTTCGTCATTGGGATACTCTTCATCTCCAGGCGCAGGTCGTCGTCGCGACAAGCCATCTGGTGAGAAGGTGATTCCTCTGACATGTTTCAAGGTAAATTGAAACATGAGGATCTCTTCAGCCCAACGGTTGATATTCGCATTCGGTAGGTTACCAACGTTTCTTAGCATGCCTGCCAAGTACAGCGCGTCGGTTTCGACTACCAATTTCCTACAACCAAGAAGCCAGTGAGCCATGGCTTGAAGCACGCGCTTTACGCCATAAAGTTCACGCTTCGGTTGAGAAAACCTAGCTTCTCTTTCTGTAAGTGGGATACTCCCAAATTTCGCGTAATAGACTTTCTTTGGATCGTCTGGGTCGCGCTGGTAGATTTCAAAACCCGCGGCCATCCAGGATGTGTCTATTGCGACGACAATCTCAGAGTCCCACTCGTAGTTCAGAGGCTTAAGCGACGGACAGACTTGTATCGCGTCTTTAAGTCTTTGAAATGCGAGCTTCTGTTTGTCACCCCATTCAAAATGCGCGTTTTTGTTCACCAGTCTCTGAATTGGTCGCGCCATTTCAGAAAATCCTCTAATGAACATCCGCATGACCCCAATCGTGCCCATGAACTGTCGAACTTCCGAGACGTCTCTCAAGTCTGGCCAACGCATGATTACACCAACTCTGTCCGCGTCAGGTTTTCTACCTTCAAACGAACAGATATGGCCAACCACAGCGAACTCGTCGGCGCAAACCACCGACTTGGTACCAGACAGAGTCGCGCCACAGTAACCGATTCTGTGCACGACGCGGTTCACATTCTGAAAGTGTTCCCATACGAAGCGACGGATCCCGGGATTTTCTGGAATCGTTTCACAGGTTCCATCGGGTAACAGATACCTGGTTCCAGGTCCTCGAACGGGTACGTCGTCGATGTATGGAATAGTAACATGAGGGATTTCGTCTTTCAAAATGAAAGTAACGTCCTCATGGAATATTGGTACTGAGTTGGTCCACCCTTGTGGGAGTTTGACCAACCTCAGCGCACCGAACGGTGACTGGAATGTAGTCAAGTCGCGACTAGCTGGATCGATGTCACGCTGGTCGTAGCCTGAGTACAAATCTAGCGCAGCACCACAGGCGCGACCGGCGAAGTGGTTTGCTAACTCCTCTGTCGCGGGCGGCAATCCTGAATGCGCGATAGTAATTGCATTGAGTGGTTCTAGCGAGTGCACCAGTCTGATACTCTTCCCATCCTTCTTAAGTACAGCGAAGAACTTGCTCCGATAAGAGGAATTGGAAGGTTCGTAGACCTGGGCCGCGATTTTGTCTTTGATGACCTTGCACACTTGATCGAACATGCCGCGAGGTATGGGAATATTTCCTTCGCGATATGCTGTATGGGGAACGGTCGCGATCTTGACAGGAGGAAAATATCCTGTCTCAATGCGCCACGTTCTTCATCATTGAACGCGAAACTCTGATTATGAAGCATGTAGAAGTGCATGAGCAACTTCCGTTCTTCTGGTAACAAGAAGTCTCCTTTGTGTAACTTGTCCACAATATCCCTGCGTTCCGCCGTGAATCTACCAGTTGGGGTAAAATCAGGTGGTCGCGGGTTTAGAGTAGGTAGCGTATCCAAAGGATCTCCCACCATTTCTCGAATTATTCGATCGTCCTCAGAACCCATAGTGTATACTGGTCTGACCTTCTGATCCACAGGTTTGTATTTCTTTCCTGCGAATACAGAGTATTTGTCGCGACTAGAAGAGTCGTCGTCTAGTACACTCCAAGTACCAACAGTCAGTTTTTCCGTTGCCGCGTCTGAGAGTCTTTCATTCATATATGAATGAAACAAAGTCGACGCAGCGACGTCTTTCTTCATTTCCTTGTCCTCTTTCGACGACAAGATATATGCTTCTACTAGCTCAGTTTGGGTAAACTGGCCACTAGAACGCGGCTTTCTTAGATCCTCGAACACTACATTCCCATCCTTTCCCAACGACACAGTCACCGCGACTTCTTCTCCTTGACTCAACCTGGTCAATTCCTCGAAGCTCTTTGAAAATCCCGTTCAGGGTTCGGTTCGTCTGGACTGGTCGTCGGTTTCGACGAACTGTAGGGCTCGGTAGATCCGTTGTTGTTTTTGGTGTTACGCGGCAAGTCGTCTGCACGACGTGGCTGCGTAGCCATTGCACAACGTGTCTTTAAATTGGGATCGCGCATAGTGATTATTTGGCTGCCGTCGGCCGCGTTCTTGATATTGCTTTCTGTCGCGATATCAAACGGTCTGCCGAGCAACACCTTATAAGCTGGCCTTTCCAAAATGTGCACCTGCAGGTAGACCAGGATGGTCCCAAACCTGAAGGGTACATTTCTTGCTAATCCCAGCGACTTAGAGATAGATCCATTTGCGCTTTCCATATAGATGACGACTTTTGGGTCCCAGCTTAATTGTGCGTCGACGGCTTCTGAGAAAGCCATCGATACAATCTGAGATCCACTGTCTAGGATGCAGTCCGCGTCGAGACGCGCGTTAATCCGTCCGTTTATCGTTCTGAGAGCAGCCGACGAATCACCAACATAGACATGCCTTGGGTTCTCATTAGAGGGTATCGACTCCAAGTACATCTCATATGGGTCCGTCGCGACAACTGCGCCAATGGGAATTTCTCCTTCAACTGTGTTATGATAGAACACAGGCTCGGGCAATTCCTTAGCACTGACTAGGTTGTAGCTCAGTTCTCCATCCCAAACGTCTTCAACGACGCGACCAGTTTCTTGAAGCATGGACTTCTGAACCGGTACTCGTTTCTTCGAAGAGTCCTTCAGAATGGAGTCGCGGACAGTCCCCGAAACTGCTAGGAGTTCACCCACAGTGACGTCGACTGACGCGTTTTTCATTTTGTCGTAGACTGCTTCTGCTACAGCCTTCGTTTGAATCGGTGCACGCAACTGGTATTTATCTGGAACGCGCGCTTTTGAAGAATGTACTGGTTCTTGTAGAACGGGCTTGACTTTCTCAAACGGTAGTTCCTTTCTCTTTTCGGTGTTGTTGCGCACTGATTCCTCATCATCGTCGCTATCACTAACTTCTTCAATAATCACAGGTTTCCTCGGTTTCTCTCGTCGCTCAGCTCGTTTATCATGGTCCTCAGAGGGCTTAGCTGAGTTTGTGGGTTTAGCCCTCTTCCTTGAACCATTTAGAAACCCGAGTTGTTATCGTCGCGCTCAGGTTGGCTATTCGCACCACGACGGGTTTGAATGAACTGCTCCTGAGTCTGAGGATAACCACTGTTCATGTTGTTGAAGTAGCCGGCCATGGCGTCGGTCATGGCTTTCTGCATGAATTGGCCCATGGCACTTTCCATTGCATTGCTGGTCGAACCAGATGCAGTTCTTTGAGTCTTTGACTCCGCGCGACTCTCTGGGGTTGGCCGCGACGACTTCCTCTCATATTGGATGAGTTGACTTCGAAGGGAGCGTATCTCGTCTGCCACTTCTTCAGGGTAGTCGGACATATCATCATTGTCGCGGCTATCGAACTGATCCAAGTAGTAAGAGTCTTGGAAGTTGACGGACTTGCCCTTCTTCTTCCAATAAGCCTCTACTCGTTGTCCCTGAGTCCCTTCTCCATTTGGCAGGAAACTGTCGTCGAAGAGCCTCCACATCCCTTTGGTGTCGACTTTGAGAAGGTTTTTCTCAATGTGAGACCTCTTGAGCGGGCACTCGTTCGACCAATGACCAGTTTGTCCACAGTAGCGACAGTCGTCGTTCCGTGCGGCAGCTCCTCCTTGTGCGCGACTTTCAAAGTGGGGCACAGAAGAGTTGTTGCCTACTGGCCGCGACCGCTGTATGGGCGCTTCGCGAGCAGTCTGTACGAACGTCTTCAGCGCTTCCTGCAACTGAGTCTGTAGCTCCTTTTGGTGTAGAAGAAATGAATCCTTCAAGTTGGAAATCGAGTTTTCCAACTCCTCAACCTTAGCATGGTTGGGTGGACTAGTCTCATAGTCGAAACGAACCTTGGGAGGTCGCGCGATTATGGGAATTTCGTCTTCGTTGCTCAACGTCGACGCCATTTCTTCCGCCATTGTCATCAATTCTTTCAGCTGGATGGGGTCGTCCTGCCGATTGACTCCAGTCGCGGGGACATTAGCGTTTGCTATCCCGGCGCGAGTTTGGTAGCGCTTGTTGAATACTTGACTCGTAGCCAAAGCGTTCCTCAAGACTGTACTAAACTCGGAGTCCAAAGTACGCATATAACGTTCACACGCGACTTTGTTGGTAATAATGGCAGGAGGGACTGACAGTCGCTTGTAGTGACTATACATTTGAAGGCCGAAACGCTTCAAATCGCCCTCATCCGTGATTTTGATTCCTCGGTTCTCGCGACAGAGTCTGTCTAGATCTGCCATGGTCCCCGTTTTTCGCTTGGACACCTCAGGGTATCCTTTTAATATTTCGGCCTCGAATTCCGCGACAGTTTTCGTGTCGTCGGAATAGGTATCGAGACCTTCCCATACGTCCATCACTTGCCGCGACGGCAAATAACGGATGTACATGCTTTTTGCCTGTTTGACATCTGTGATGCCACCATCCTCCACGATCTGCGCGCAGTGACGCAAATATGCCTCAATCGACAGGGGATCCTTTTCATCAAGTATAGGTCTACTTGTGTCCCAAGGTTGAGGGATTTTGAACCCAGTCTTTGGAGCCATAGTTGTCGCGACTGAAGTCACAGGGGAAGTAGGGATGTTGTTAGAATTCGTGTTTGTAGCGGTGACGCTACTTGACAATTCTGAGAGGGTTTGTGAGCTAGTCTGAGATCGACTGATTGTCGTCGAACTCGAAGTAGCTGTGCCTAAAGCTAGAAGCTTCGACGTCGAATTCACTCTTTGTTTTCCTTTTGCCTTGGAAGGCAAGGGTGGTAGATACAAAGGTGTTTTATGTCTTGCAGACCTTCGTGGTTTTCCGAAAGGTCCTGAAGTTGAAGCGTTTCCTTCAGTCTCAATCTCCGCTTGGTCCTCGAGGGGTCGCGCAGGAGCTTGGGATCGAAATAAACTGCTTCGCGGGATAAACCCTTGGTCTCTATCCGACGTCGCGGTAAAGAACCCGGTTTATTGATTTTTAAAGTTTATGAAACTTTAGAAGCCCCTCGCGGTGGGCTCCAGATGAAATGCTGAGGGCGTGCTCACAAGTGAATCTACTATGAAAGTAAACCCAAATATAAAACACGTTCACACTCCTCGTAATCAGCTTCTCAGTGTGTGAAAGATGCGAGGGCTTCGGGGTGGACAGAGCACCAGTATCACAACTCTCAATAGACGCAGATCCAATAGTCGCGGAGACGAAGTCGACGACAAGAATTTATATATAGCAAACAATGGTATCTCAACCAATATCTTCTATACGAACACAACCAACACTAATCCAATCCACAAACAACAATATAACAAGTCAGAACTTAATACGAAGTATTAAGATCCCTTGTAGCGACAGCGTCCAGATGGTGACGCAAAGCCCAAATATCAAGTCGACGCACTGCCAACTGATACAACCAATATACTGAGTCGACGCACTGCCAACTAGTAAACCAAAATGTCAAGTCGACGCACTGCCAACTGACACAACCAAAAGTACTGAGTCGACGCACTGCCAACTAGTAGAACCAAGATGCCGCGTCGACGCACTGCCAACTAACAGCCAATATCCAATGTCCAAAACCCGAGCACAACTTGTCGACGCACTGCCAAGCAAGAAGTGTGGAACCAAAGTTCTCAAGTCGACGCACTGCCAACTGACCAAAACAACCCGAGCACAACTAGTCGACGCACTGCCAAACTAGAGGTGTGGAACGATCTCAACAAAGCCCAAAGGCGACGACACTAAATGCCGCGACTAAACCAGATGCGGCGAATCCGACTTTCTGATGTCTCAACTCAAACTCAAATCACAGTAGCTACAAGTGCTCAGGGAGCAACTCGTCGCGACCGGGCAGGGGTAGCAGAACTTCTTAGGGTGGAATCACGCGGCACGCAAATTGTACGAAACAATCTGAAATGAGAGTGATTCACAGTCCAGGGGGAAGCCTTTTTAATACAAAGAGACGACGTGCTACTTATACTGTCTACGACGCTGCTTAGTAAAGTCCTGTACAACTGCATAGTAGCTACGCTATCTAAGATCGGTTGCCTTTTAGGGTAATTGAAAAGTTGAACGATCGGACAGGTCCTGAGTGATCAGGACCCCGCCCCATCGTCCATATGATACTTTTGATGTGGGCCAACTCACCGCGTCATACTTTTGGAATACGACGTGCTGGATTGGCCAACGGGTATGTCTTGGCATGTGAGACCAACGTGGGCGCCCCAAGAAGCCGTATGGCCCTAGGCACGCCAGTCGTCCCCCACATGGTTCGGTTCACGGATCTAACCGTGTCGGTTTCTAGTGTGTTTGGGTATGAGCGCGACTCGCCGTGACACTTGGAAGTGTCACCGCGACGCGTCCACAATGTCCCGTGATCGAATGGATCCTGACATGTGACAAGTCGTCGTCGTGGCTCGATCTGAGGAAACGTCCAACTCAAAACCGGGAGTTGCCGCGACAAGATGGTTTAAGTCTCGTAACGCCAAGTCCTGTCCAGTAGTAGTTCTATTATTGAGAACGTCGCGCATTGCTCAGCCCTTCAGCCCAAGTTCCCATCTGCAGAGAATGACCCTTTTTGAGAAGTCGACGCAACGACATATCCCTTTTTGGGGAATGGTCGCGGTCCAAGCGTTCGTCACTAATGGCCCTGAGCCTGGTGTAGACTCATAAGACCAGTTCCACAGTAGTGGTCTGACTGCCTTGCTATCGTCGACACTATCCACAGTCGTCGACTGGGCAGTAGACCCATAAGTCCTACTGAGCGCAACACTGTCACCCGCGACACGATACACCGAATGGTTCAAGAGTAAACTCTGTAAAAAGCGCAAAAATACGCCCTTACAGAGCTGGTGCAGAGCGCGTCTGGTAGCCAGCCTATCAGCGGTCTAGAACAAAATCATCAATAAGCACATTCAGCTGAGAGAATGCAACAGAAACTCACTTCTGATTGGGAATTGGCTCCATGATGGGGGAAGAAGCAGAGGGGCGTGTCACACTTGATGCAATCCTCTCCTTTAAATACCTTGCCCCTGCCGGATCAGATCCGGTGGAGCTTTTCCGGATCAATGGCCCGGAACGCCGTGCTGGTACCCGTGCGCTTCATTTATTCTTTCAGCCCTGGAGGACTTGATCATCAATTGCGGGGAACACGAGGACGCCGAAAATTTGTGCAGACTGCTACAGACCTAGTCACTCGCTCGACATGCGTGCATTTGCGTGCACTGAGTTTGATATCTTTCCCGCTCGCTGCCCTCCAGCTGTCGGAGCCAATCCCTTCGATCACTGAGCTGCGCACTTTCCACTCGATACGCGCAGGATCTCAGCTCACGCGGAAATTGATGGCGTCTCTGGTCGTCTACGGCTCCCAGCCTATCGTGGCACCCCAGCTGCAATCCATCCTGATATACGCCTTGGGCGAATCTGTCGCATCCTTCGATCTCAGACTCTACTGCACCATGCTCCACAGTCGGCTCCATGTGAGCCCGATGGAATTGCAACGTTCTTTTCTCCTTCTGTCCGATGCGAGTGGATTGGACTCGGATTCTCTTGCCAGGTTCCACGGCGTGACCAACGACCAGTTCCGATTCACGTTGCTGCTCGGTGACCAAGCTTTGATACAGTTGTAACCTGGACGGGGCCTTGATTTTGATATGAGCTATTTCTGTGATGAGATCGCAGTACGATGACCTTCAAAGATTGTAACTAGAGCCTCAGGTGCTGGCTAGCATCAGTGACTAATACGACCAAACACAGACCTTGCCTCTCAGCAGCGACGGCCACTTCGCGGTTCTTATGACTGCAGACTTGACACTCTAACTTGAACGATCCGAGTTTGGAATATATTTCTGGTTCCTGTGTCTCTTCTCCGACGCCCGTTCCGCACATATCGACCGAAAACACGAGCGATTGGAAATTTCCTCTGCCGCGAACTCCTGCTCGGTATGTCTATTGAGGAGCTTGCGTTGGCCCTTTGCATCACATCCTCCGCCTCCTTTTTTCATTCACTTGTGTGCGGATGATCTACTCAGCGAAAATCTCGTGCTCGTCTTACGGAGATGACAACCGGCGGAACAAGGAGGTGCCAGGATCGGACTCTCTGCTTGCTTCCACTTCTTTCGCCTTGTTTATGTACGCTATGGCCATTCTTCTCGGTGTGAGGCTTTGCTACCGAGCCTTTAGAAGTATCGCGTTCTGATATGGAGAGGCTGTCGTCCAACTTGGCTTTCTCTTCGTGTAGAAGCACCCGTCTCGAAGTTCACTTGAGTTCTGGACGAGTCGCTTCTACTTCTCACTCTGAAGCGCCATTTCTGTGTACTCTCGGAACAACGCAGCGCCCTGGATCCAATGTGACGCTTGCTCGATCTGCCTCGCGGAATCGGATACGCAGGGCTGTTATAATTCCCGATTGTCTGCAGACTCGAGCACCATTCGGGTGCAATGGTTAGTATCAAACGTTTTACCGACCTTCCCCCACATCCATCTGAATATGAGCGAGTTTGGAGATGCATGTGGCTCGCAGGCATTGCAGCGGAACCGAGCTGAATCAAGGATGTCTCTTAGCCCTCCGGCCGCAACAAGCCTCGTATTTTTCGTAGCTTCTGCTTGGAGAATGATCGATTGCTTGCAGGACGAGCCAAACCCATAATTTTGAATGCGCCCGAGCTGTTAGCGGCGGCTGACGGTGAGGCTCGTTATTGATGTTGAAGTGAGCCAGCGAGATGCGTAGAGCGATTGCTGGACATGGGACATGCGGTGAACACCGTGTTTCGAAAGTAGCAAACCATTATACACAGTCCGTCCTTGCATCAATGGTCACTATGGCGGCTGCCATCCATCCGGTTTCGTCACTGGTTTTGGATCGCCTCGCGCTGAAGTGACGGCATATTCTTCAGGACATTCTCGTTCTCGGAAATCGTCATATAACCCACAAGAGAACTCGATACAGACGCACGAGCTTTGGATGGATGTGATCGCGAGATCTGGGAACTCTGGGCCCCAAAGCGGACGTGGGGCTTAAACACTGCCTGATCTGAGGCTCGGTCTCTATGCTCCTGCATGGGTGCGATTGGTACGTTTCGGCGAGAGACGCTCATCTGTTGGACATATATATCGGTGAATGGGAGGCAGATGTTCGCGCCCCAGAGCTTCCCCGGGGTCGGTCCAGTGGGTGCGATTTATAAATTATACAAGATTCATGGATGAACCACTTCTTCAAGGGAATCGCACACTGATCCCCACTGACCGCAGTGCTGCTGTGATCAGGTTTTGAAGTGAGCAGGTGGTTGAAGCAATGCGTTCAATCTCGCCTTACCGGTGTGATCGAGATCTTGACCTTGCATCTCGAAAACAGATCATTTACATAAGAAACATAGATTTCATAAGGCATAGTACAGTAACAAGAGTCTAACATAACGATTATGTAGTCGAGGAGTATCGTAACAAGTAATTTCAACACATCGGCGCTGCGATGATACCTACAAGTCTCCAGAGATCGTCTGGTATGCATACCCGAGGTTGTGCATGAACAAATCCGCCGGGTTGGCAGTGAAAACCGGCTCCTCGACGGGGAAGAACGGGTATTGGAACTGCAAGTCGTCGTAGGACTCGAGCCCTACCGAAAAGTCGCACATGAACGCCGGATCAGGCCCGGGGATGTACGACGCCAACCCGTGGTCGGGAACGGGAAAGTACCCAGCCGGGTCGTTGGTGTACATCGGCATCGGCGCCAGCGCAGACATGTTCGGCAGAACGCGGGGGAAGTAGGGGAAGTTCTGGAATCCGTCGGACGCGACTGGGTAATGGAGATCCTGCACGGGGAAGTATTGCGCGTTGTCGGGGATAAACACGACGGAGGCAGACTCGGAAGCGGGGCTGAGGGTGCCCGACGAGGACTGGGGCGAGGGAAGGGTGAAGTGGAAGGGCGCAGCGAGCTCCGAGAGAGGGGTCGACGCGCCGGAGGACGGCGGAGAATCCACACACCGCACACCTTTCGCATCACACCGCACCCACTCCGCCGTCGGCCCGTCGCGCACCACATACTTCGGCCGGAGCCCCGACTCCTCCATCAGCCACGGCACCTCGTCGCGGTGCCTGCTCTTCACGTGTCGAATCTCGGCGGCAGCGTCGGAGAGGGTTTCTTCGCACGATGGCTTGCGGCACATGAAGCGGATGCGATAGCTGCGGGAATGTCAGGCTCGGCTGTGGGGGTGAAGAAAGTCGAGCACGCACTGGTCTTTCATCTGGTGGGTGTCCATGTTCTGCTTGGTCGAGGCCATGCGATTGCAGGTCGTTCCGTCATCAAGCTTGACACCGCAAGGCCTGTGAAATCATTGAGTCGGTGAGATGGAGGCATAGCGGGGTGGCAACGCACTCGGTGTACTGGAGAAAGAATCGAATCGACTTCAGATCGCAAACTCTGGGTTGCAAATGATACTCACAAGCTTGCGAGGTCGGCATCCGGCGAGCCTGAACAGCTTCGGAGTGTTTGATTTCGGCATGGCTGGTAGCAAACGGTAGTTTTCGAGTTGGTGATTGCACTGGGGTGTTTGGGAGAGGTTTGGCTGGCCATGCAAAGTGCCCCCAGCTTTATCCATGCGCCGAGCGCCTGCATTGAAACGGGGTAGCCCAATGCGGGCTTCTTTCCTTTGTCGCTTAGATTTGATGGGAGTGTTCACCTTCCTAAAGCGGACTGATGGGAGGGAAGCTTTGGCCCCAAGCCATGGTGCGGTGCTGATCATGATCTGCACTGTGCGCTTGAACACGACTTCGTTCCTCTTTTGGAGCACAATGCTTGAGGGTGTCGCCCACATTGGAGAGGTTCTGAATGGGCCAATTTTGTGCTCGGCAGACTTTGAGCAGAGCTTCGCATGCACCGATGCTTCACGTGCTTGACACCGGGCTGTGCCCTCCCACTCCTGGCCTCATCCTTCAGACGGATATGTCCTATTCTGATTGAAAAGTCCTAGCGGTGGACGGTCTCCTCACACTTCCCTCATACATTACTGTATTCGGCCCCACTGTTCTTCAGCCCCGTTTCGCCCAGTCTTCACGCTAGCTACGCCGAATGACGACGGTAGAAAATCTCGAGTCGCTATCAGACTGCCGAATCATTTCGAATCCGACGCTAACTCCTCCTCGCGTGTTTTGCTCTCTTCCGTGCACATCTCCGTCATGTGATCGCGTCTGGTCTTTTGTACCCGTCAAGCACTGATGTCATCCGCGCTTTACTGCCTGCTCTCCCCATTTTTTTCATGGGGACACGCTTTTACGTCTCATTTCTTTTACCATTTCAATCCATCTGGAACTTATCACCCTACCGCTTTTCGACGCTCACGGGCTTTGATACGCGCATCGAACGCTCAGCAATATTCATCCCGAAGAACATGTGACCGCGTTTGATGTTTGCAGCAGCCAAATTCTACTCTACGTCACCTTCTACTTCCCTCTCTGCATTTCCAAATGCCAGTCATCCTACTGCCATCGGACTTGTGTCGCTGGCAGTAGCTAGATCCATCCATTTGTGAGTTCGTTCTTTAAACTCCGTCGATTTCATCGAGATGCTCAGGTGCCGACCCAGTGACAGCCAAGTCTACTGTTTCTCGACGTCGGCGCCGGCGAGGTCACCGGACGATGTCTGTTCCTGTGAATCGAAGCTTTTGCGACGCTTTACTGTACGAAACGTTCCGGATCCTTGATCACTCCTGTACGAGCTTGTGTTGCATATGAGATGGGACAGCGTCGTGCTGTCAGTAACCTGGTGTCTGAGGTACGCACCCCTCACAGCCAGCCGTAACTTCTTAGAGGCTCATAACTGAGCAGGATGTGTAGATCATTACACGTGAACTCTGAGACCCCTCTTCGTGCTATCACCGCTCTCTACGCAAGACCGCAAGAGCAGCTTACATCGCAGATCGGCGTCGCACTTGTGCCATGCATATCTACCAGTTCAATCATGCGCGCGCGACGCTCTCTCAGATCTGGTCTTTGATGGTGGGCATCGTCGCCTCGCTTCGGCCGTCGCAGTGGCACCGACGCTCATACAGTGTCCAGCAGTCCCGCCCGTTCTGTGTTCCGCCGACTCAGGCATCCATCCGGCCTCGATGATCCCGTCCGAGACGACTTTCTCTGACTCCGTGATGGGCTGCAATATTGTACACCCTTCTTCGTATCTCGTGCCACAAGCCCAGGGCCCCTTACGTCTCCCAAGCGGTTTCACGATCACCCTACGAGTCAAAGCCACGAGGATGAAATCACATCGTGTTCGACCTTTCTCAGTCTCGATCCATCCAATCTGGCGCTTGTATCAGTCCATCGACCTGCGCAACTCTGCTGCTTTCTCCCCGGGCCGATCGACATATGGGTGGTCTAACGGATGGGGCGGGGAAACGGTGCTTAGATGTGGACTAGACCGTGCTTGGGATGGGTCAAACACTGGGCAGCTGAGGCCGTACCTTCACACTCTGGGCCAGCGCTTTCTATGTCTGGACGAACATTCTGATTTTGGGGAACATGTACCTTTCGGTCTTCGGTGGTGCTATGCGCCAGGTCTACAATGGTTGCCTTGCGCAGACCAATACGTCGATTGCGAATGATGGGGCATGAACCACGACTGAGCCGTCGGCTCCAGAGGCGCCAGAGTCCATACCAATGCACCAGTCTTTTGCAAATCGTATTGGCGCCAAGATCTTCACAGAGGCACGCATTGAAACCGTATCGGGTCTAATGCTCCACATTTGAAGGTCACCAGGGCGATATCGGATGGGTGCGAAGATACAGAGATCCCGTCTGCCATGGGCATCACCATCCTTGCCTAACAGCCGCGGAATCCCGCTCGTACATACCGATTTCCCCACTGCGGAATTGTGTCCCCTCCACCACCGATCTCCACAATCCAGATCCGTCGAGACCACGGTCGTAGACGAAGAAACTCAGAACTGTGGGACCAAGAGCTGCGTTGTGGTCTGAGCTTCACGCAATTCCCGCTCGTATCCTCAATCTAGTCGTCCCTCTAAGAGCGTAGATGGCATAATGGAGGACCGTGGTCTTTCAAGTTTGGGCAAAGATGTGCTGCCCACTGCCACGAAAGTGGCGAAGGATCGAAGACTACCGAGCGCATTCACTTTCGTCCCTTACACAACAAGTACATGCACCCATCTCGACCCGTTGTGGCGGGACCTGTCTTCCTGCATGACACCTCCCACGGTCAAGACGGCGACAGCTTCAAAACAGAGACTGCTTGCACATTCAAGGAGATCAGTTGGTACATTGGAGTCACTTAAATAGACATAGCAGCAACCTGGAGCAAAATCAGCACGGGTTCCGAGCTATACGAGCAAGGAGCTCGACTAACCAGATCGGCAGTGACTTGATAGAACTCCGGCGCGTGCAGCTTCTCATCCACGAGCCCAAAACTGAGATCCAGTCCCCGGTGCTTCAGTTCCCGCAACTCTTCCACCGTCCGGGCCAACGCAGCCGCCTCCCGGCCTTGCATGCTAAACTCGACCTTGAACGACTTCAGGCAGCCAGCGCCGTCCTGGAACCGATCTGCGACCATGCGAGTCGCGACGCTGAGGTTGAACGACGGGATCGAGCAGCCCCGGAGCACGAATGTCTCCAGTGCGGGTACAGTCTTCAGCTGCCCCGTGCGGAACTCGCTGACGAAGTGGCAGAACTCGATCGTCTCCGCGAACACCGCCTGCTCGATGGCCAGGTGCTTCAGGCACGGCAATGCGGGGATGAGCTCCAGGTCGTACATGCTGGGCGGGAACTCGATCGTGAGGCTCTGCAGCGTCGTGTGGCATCCGGATCGCTCGAGGAGCGCGGGGACGTGCTCCAGATGCGTCACACGGAGATGTTGCAAGACGGGCAAGATGAGGTGCTCGATGAGGGTGAAGTCCTCGTTGTCAGACCCATGATAAAACGTGAGCTCGGGCAGCGTGATGTGTGGGAGCGTGACGCGTTCTCTGGAGTAAATATCAGCGACGAGTGTCTTTAATCCAGGGGTCTGCTCAAGAATGTCCAGGCATTGTGAGACCAGAATGTTGTTGAGGTCCAGAGATTGGATTTGCGTCCAAGGCAGAGAAAGATGCGCTGCGCAGAGACCGTCGAGCTCAACGGTCCGAAGCAGCGGTGCGTTTCGGAACACCGTGATAGCCGGCGGGAAGTTCTGGGTCGGGTTGCCTTGCAAGGCCAACACTTCGAGATAGGACCACACGATCTCATCCAAGACATCCAGAGGCCCCGTCACATCGAAGCTCTGAAACTCAAACGAGCGCCAGCGATGCGGATGTCTCGCAGCCGCCTGCAGGACATTGATGAACCGGGACGGCGGCGGCACCTGGGCAACTCCGAACGAAGCCCGCAGGTCTGCACCCAGCGCCCCTCCACGCTGAAGAGACACGTCGACGAGGCGATCGAGCTTCGCAGGCCGTTTCACAAACGGACTGACGTTGATGTCCGTCCAAAGCTGTGGCGTGCCGAGGGCCGCGTCTCGCCACGCGCGACACACACTCGCCAGCTGCATGGGTCGGGAATTCGAAAATCCAGATCCACTGCCCCCGGCGAGACACCATTGGAAGATTTCGCCAATGAGTTCACCTGGTAGGGACCGGATAGGGGTAGGATGACGTAGTGAAACGAGCAAGGTTTGTTGCTCAGAGCGTAGCGCGACGAGTTGCCGCTCGAGAGAGCATAACGTATCCGAGATCTCTCGAAGCCGGAGATGAATATCAGTGCCGACCATCGTCGTGGTCTGAGGGAGAAATTCTAGATCAGCCGAGGGGTGATGATGGAATGAATTGGACAATCGAGCACGTGATCGCATGGGCACACGTCTACAGGTTTCAAGGTCAGGATGTAGACTTCGGAAAGAGATGCAAGATGTCGGACGATCCAACTTGCCGGAAGACTTGCAGGGAGCGTGGGGGCACCACTGCAGGGATGCGAAATGCTAGCAAAACAGTGTTTCTGTAGAACAAATAATTAATCCGTGGACCAGAACTGAAAACAAAGCCTATGAAGAAGAGAAATGAGTAAGGAATGGACTCTGAAGCGCATCCCCGGAAGACAGAAAACGTGGGGAGAAGACGGCAAAGCGCGTATGACGTCAGTGCTTGACGGTTGCAAAGACCAGACGCGATCACATGACGGGGATGCACACGCGAAGAGCGCCAAACACGCGTCGAGGGAAGAGTTGGCGTCGGATTCGAAAGATTTCGGGAGTCTGGTAGTGATTTGAGATTTCGCACCGTCGCTATCCGGCGTGGCTATCGTGAAGACGGGGCGAACAAGGGGAAGAAATTGTAAATCTTGGACCAAATGCAGTCATGCACGAGAACTTAGGAAGGCCGTCCACTGCCAAGACGAATAAATTTGGGTGCGGTTCATGAGTGCGAAGGATGAGGCCAGGAATGCCGGGTCACATCTTGATTTCAAGCACAAGAAGCATCGGCTCATGCGAGGCCCTGCTCCAAGTCCAAGTCTGCCGAGCACAGGATTTGCCCCGTCAGAACCTCTGCAATGTGGGCGACACCCTCGAGCATTGTTTAACGAAAGGGGAACGAAGTAGTGTTCAAGCGCACAGTGCAGATCATGATCAGCACCGCACCATGGCTTGGGGCCAAAAGCTTCCCTCCCATCAGTCCGCTTTAGGAAGGTGAACACTCCCATCAAATCTAAGCGACAAAGGATAGAAGCCCGCATTGGGCTACCCCGTTTCAATGCAGGCGCTCGGCACGCACATAAAGCTGGGGGCACTTTACATGGCCAGCCAAATCTCTCCCAATCACCCCAGTGCTATCACCCACTCGAAAACCACCGTTTGCTACCAGCCATGCCGAAATCGAACACTCCAAAGCTGTTCAGGCTCGCCGGATGCCGACCCCGCAAGCTTGTGAGTGTCGTTTGCGTCCCAGAATTTGCGATCTGAAGCTGACTCGATTCTGTCTCCAGTACACCGAGTGCGTTTTCACCCCGCTATTCCTCCATCTCACCGACTCACTGATTTCACAGGCCTTGCGGTGTCAAGCTCGATGACGGAACGACCTGCAATCGCATGGCCTCGACCAAACAGAACATGGACACCCACCAGATGAAAGACCAGTGCGTGCTCGACTTTCTACACCCCCACACCCGAGTCTGACATTCCCACAGCTATCGCATCCGTTTCATGTGCCGCAAGCCATCGTGCGAGGAAACCCTCTCCGACGCCGCCGCCGAGATCCGGCACGTGAAGAGCAGGCACCGCGACGAGGTGCCGTGGCTCATGGAGGAGTCGGGGCTCCGGCCGAAGTACGTGGTGCGCGACGGGCCGACGGCGGAGTGGGTGCGGTGTGATGCGAAAGGTGTGCGTTGTGTGGATTCTCCGCCGTCTTCCGGCGCGTCGACACCCCCCTCGGAGCTCGCTGTGCCCTTCCATTTCACGCTCCCCTCGCCCGAGTCCTCGTCGGCCACCCTCAGCCCCGCTTCCGAGTCTGCCTCCGTCGTGTTTATCCCCGACAACGCGCAATACTTCCCCGTGCAGGATCTCCACTACTCAGTCGCGTCCGACGGATTCCAGAACTTCCCCTACTTCCCCCGCGTTCTGCCGAACATGTCTGCGCTGGCGCCGATGAGGATGTACACCAACGACCCGGCTGGGTACTTTCCCGCTCCCGACCACGGGTTGGCGTCGTACATCCCCGGGCCTGATCCGGCGTTCATGTGCGACTTTTCGGTAGGGCTCGAGTCCTACGACGACTTGCAGTTCCAATACCCGTTCTTCCCCGTCGAGGAGCCGGTTTTCACTGCCAACCCGGCGGATTTATTCATGCACAACCTCGGGTGTGCATACCAGACGATCTCTGGAAACTTGTAGCGCCGATGTGTTGAAATTACTTGTTACGATGCTCCTCGACTACTAATCCTTATGTTACACTCTTGTTACTGTACTATGCCTTATGAAATCTATGTTCCTTATGTAAATCATCTGTTTTCAACATGCAAGCCAAGGTCTCGATCACACCGGTAAGGCGAGACTTAATGCATTGCTTCAACCACCTGCTCGCTTCAAAACCTGATCACAGCAGCACTGCGGTCAGTGGAGATCAGTGTGCGATTTCCCTGAAGAAGCGGTTCATTCATGGACCATGGATAAATCGCACCCACTGGACCGACCCCGGGGAAGCTCCCGGGCGCAAACATCTGCACCCCATTCACCGACATACATGTCCAACAGATGAGCGTGGCTCGCCGAGACGTACCAATCGCACCCATGCAGGAGCAGAGACACCGAGTCTCAGATCATGCAGTGTTTATGCCCCACGTCAGCTTTGGGGCCCAGAGTTCCCAGATCTCGCGATCGCATCCATCCAAAGCTCGTGCGTCTGTATCGGGTTCTCTTGTGGATTATATGACGATTTCCCAAGAACGAGAATGTCCTGAAGGATATGCCGTCACTTCAGCGCGAGGCGATCCAAAACCAGTGGCGAAATCGGATGGATGGCAGCAGCCATAATGACCACTAATGTAAGGACGGAGTGTGTACAATGGTCCAAAGCTCTCACGTCTGTCTCTAGTCATTATGTACAGGTATGCAAAAGAGATCTGACAAGCAAAGCTATCGCAATTCTCAGAACACTTGAGAAGAGCAGGAGGCCGACACTTCGGGAATTGTGTTTCTGGCCAGCGAAGATCAAGCCTTGGAACACAAATGAAAGGCAACTCTGTCGAGCAGAGAAATGGGGATGCAGTCCCCGGTGTCGAGTACATGAACACACGCACACAAGCCGTAAAACTGCAGTGCGATGAATCAGGAGCCAGCCGAATGCATGCTGAGACTCATCCGCTCAGTGCGTGTCGAACACTTGTCCAGCGACAGCTCAGGTGTGTCCAAACCTCTAGTCCGTCTGTTCATGGAGGGTCCCCGGTTTTCTTGCCGGTGACGTTTCGAGGAACCGCGAGCTCGTCTATCGTTGCCGCTACGTCGATCTCGATGGCATGGACAATGGTAGAAAACGGGACGGTGCTTTCGCGAAACTGAGACGGCGACGCAGCTCTTGCATCCAATATTGGAAGTTTCTTCTTTTCGACTGTCGTTTCTACAGATCTGGGTTCGTGGTGCTCAGTGGTGGACTGCGCAGGGGTGTAAGTGGGGCCAAGGGGTCCATCGGCATGCATACGAGTGGAAGCATGCGGCTGTTTTGCAAAGATGGAGATGCCCATGACAGACTGCATTTCCGGATCATGATTCCTATCCCCTAGCGCACCTACAACGGCAGAGTGCCAAGCGTCAAATCTGGGGCGTTGTGAATCCGCGACTCTGTGAAGCTCCTGGCGCCGACACGATTCGCAGAGGGAAGGCCTTGCTGTGAGCTCGGACGCATCTGGAGCTGACTGATCAGACCTTTTTCTGCGCAAAGAGACCATTGTAAACCTGTCGCACAGCACTACCGGAGGTGGATGTTCTCGAAAGTCGGGACGGCGATCCAGATAGAGCGAGCGCTGGCCAGCATGTCAAGACCCTGGGCTCGGCTGCCCGGTACCTGTCCCATTTCAAGCATGGTCTAATCCATATCCACCCATCCTTCCCCTACCCCATCCATCGGACGACTCCTTTGTCGATCGACCCGGGAACAGGAACTGGGAATGGAGGTCTCGTGACGGGTTCTACCGTGGAGAAAGCAGCAGAGTTGTGCTGGTCGATGCGATGCGCACGACTGAGGCAAGCGCCGGATTGGATGGATCGAGACCGAGATAGGCCGAACACGATGTCTGGAACGGCATCGAGAAACGACGTCTTTTCAGCCGAGTAGCTCGGCCTCAGAGTGTCGCCAATCATGAAACCGCTCAACGAGGACAACCTCGATGACCTCGGAGACTGGAAGGTCGATATCCGCCGTATGAAGAGCTGTGAAAGGCTCGGCCTGGGGGTACGAGATACAGCAATGTTGCGGCCGATCGCTACCTTGAATAAAGTAGTCTAGGACGGGATCATCGAGACCGGATGGATGCCTGAGTCGGCGGAACATGAAATCAGCGGGACTGCTTGACACTGTATGAGCATCGGTGCCACTGCGACGGCCGAAGCGAGGGAACGATGTGCACCATCGAGGACCAGCTCTGACGACACATCCCACACGTATGATAGAACTCGTAGATATGCATGGCACAAGTGCGACGCCGATCTGCATTGTAGGGTGCTCTCGCGGTCTTACGTAGAGACCAGTGATTGCGCAACGAGAGGCCTCAGAGTTCGAGCGCAATGACCTGGACATCCTGCTCAGTTATGAGCCTCTAAGAAGGTTACGGCTGGCTGTGAGGGGCGCATACCTCAGACACCAGGTTACTTTACAAGCACGCGCTACCCATCTCACATGTATCACAAGCTTGTCCCTTGTCCCGAGGCAATTGAGGATCCAGAAAGTTCGGTGCGGTACAGCTCTGCAAGAGCTTCGATTCAAAGGAACAGACATCGTCCGGTGACCTCGCCGGCGCCGACGTCGAGAAACAGTAGAGTTGGGTGGCATTCATGGCTATCGCTGAGTTGGGACCCTAGCACCTCAACGAATCGACAAAGCTATGAGAACAAAATCTGCGGGTGTATGGATCTAGCGGCTCCCGGTCACAGTACCCGAGTCGGATGGCTGTAGGACGACTGGCGTTTGAAAATGCAGAGAACGGAAGCGGAAGGCATGTGACGTCGTGTTTGGCTGCTGCAAACGTCATACGCGGTCACATGTTCTTGAGGACTCCCGAATGTTGATGAGCGTAGGATACGCGTCGAAGAGCGGAAGGGCGATGAGGCAAAACATAAATTGAAAGGTTAAGAATTCATCATGTGAGACGCGTCTCCACAAAATACCAAAGGTCCCCCAACCCCGGTACATCGAAGTAGTGTAGAAAAGATCAGGAACAGGGAGGACTTCAAGAAACCTCAGCAGGCATTAGGACATGAATTTATCTCTCTAGGTTCAATCAGAAAGATAGGCTCAACAGAGATGAAGTGCTGAGATGTTAGGAAGAAGTCGAAATAGGATCAAGTCAGCGGAGCGAATCACATCTGTGGATGTGATTTTGCCGACAGCACGCAGGATTGAATCGAGGGTACCGGAGAATATTTACAAGGATGATGGCCCCAATCGGATGCAATAGAATCTCAAAAGCTGGTGTGATTCCTTGCCGTGGAGTGAAACAGTCCGTTTATTAACACCGATGTGCCATCAAACTTTGCGCCACTCTGTGCGCATCGAACCAACTCGATGAGATGAGCGCAACGCGCGGGTTTGGTCTCCCTGATAGAAAATGCGACAGCCGAAGCTCGACGGCGGAAAGATCGTGAGGTCATCCATTGCATCTTTGTATGAAGAGGGCAGTAAAGCGCATGTGACGTCACTGCTGGGCGGCTGCAAAGACTAGACGCGGTCACATGACGGGGATGTCAATGCGAAGGGCGCAGAACGCGCGCCGGAGGAAGAATGAGCGTAGGAGCCGACAAGATCTGGGACTCGGATGAGTCTGAAGATGAAGTGATTTGAGTCGTCCACTTGATCGAGTCTGGGGCCTCCGAACAAGGCTCACGAAGACTGGGGCCAAACAAAGTAATGCAAGAGGGAAGTTTGAGGAGGCCGTCCACCACCAAAACAAATAGATTTGGGTGCGTTTCATGAGTGCGAAGGATGAGGCCAGGAATGCTGGGGCACAGCCTGGTGTCAAGCACGTGAAGCATCGGCGCATGCGAAGCTCTGCTCAAAGTCTGCCGAGCACAAGATTGGCCCCGTCAGAACCTCTCCAATGGGGGCGACACCCTCGAGCATTGTGGTCCTAAAGGGGAACGAAGTCGTGTTCAAGCGCACAGTGCAGATCATGGTCAGCACCGCACCATGGCTTGAGGCCAAAAGCTTCCCTCCCATCAGTCCGCTTTAGGAAGGTGAACACTCCCATCATATCTAAGCGACAAAGGAAAGTCCGCATTGGGCTACCCCTTTCAATGCAGGCGCTCGGCGTATGGATAAAGCTGGGGGCACTTGAAATGGCCAGCCAAATCTCTCCCAATCACCCCAGCGCTATAACCAACTCGAAAACTACCGTTTGCTACCAGCCATGCCAAAATCAAACACCCCAAAGCTGTTCAGGCTCGCCGGATGCCGACCCCGAAAGCTTGTGAGTCTCATTTGCAACCCAGACTTTGCGATCTGAAGCTGACTCGATTCTTTCTCCAGTACACCGAGTGTGTCTCCATCCCACTATGCCTCCATCTCACCGACTCAATCATTTCACAGGCCTTGCGGTGTCAAGCTCGAAGACGGAACGACCTGCAATCGCATGGCTTCGACCAAACAGAACATGGACACCCACCAGATGAAAGACCAGTGCGTGCACCAGTTTCTACACCCCCACACCCGAGTCTGACATTCCCGCAGCTATCGCATCCGTTTCATGTGCCGCAAGCCATCGTGCGAGGAAACCCTCTCCGACGCCGCCGCCGAGATCCGTCACGTGAAGAGCAGGCACCGCGACGAGGTGCCGTGGCTGATGGAGGAGTCGGGGCTCCGCCCGAAGTACGTGGTGTGCGACGGGCCGACGGCGGAGTGGGTGCGGTGTGATGCGAAAGGTGTGCGTTGTGTGGATTCTCCGCCGTCTTCCGGCGCGTCGACACCCCCCTTGGAGCTAGCTGCGCCCTTCCACTTCACCCTCCCCTCGCCCCAGTCCTCGTCGGGCACCCTCAGCCCCGCTTCCGAGCCTGCCTCTGTCGTGTTTATCCCCGACAACGCGCAATACTTCCCCGTGCAGGATCTCCATTACCCAGTCGCGTCCGACGGATTCCAGAACTTCCCCTACTTCCCCCGCGTTCTGCCGAACATGTCTGCGCTGGCGCCGATGCCGACGTACACCAACGACCCTGCTGCGTACTTTCCTGTTCCCAACCACGAGTTGGCGTCGTACATCCCCGGGCCTGATCCGGCGTTCATGTGCGACTTTTCGGTAGGGCTCGAGTCCTACGACGACTTGCAGTTCCATGAGCCGCTCTTCCCCATCGGAGAGCCGGTTTTCACTGCCAATCCGGCGGATTTGTTCATGCAGAACCTCGGGCATGCGTACCAGACGATCTCTGGAAACTGGTAGGTATCATCGCGGCGCCGGTGTTTGAAAATTACTTATTACGATGCTCCTTGACTACTAATCCTTATCTTTCACCCTTGTTACTGTACTATGCCTTATGAAATCTATGTTCCTTATGTAAATCGTCTCACCTCTCTGCAAGATGCAAGTCAAAGTCTCGATCACACCGGTAAGGCGAGATTGAATGCATTGCTTCAGCTACATGCTCACTGCGAGTCCTGATCACAGCAGTCTCGCATTCAGTGAATATCAGAGTGTGATTCCCTTGAGGAAGATATTAAAATTGATCGGCTTATGTACAGATCGCACCACTGGCCGGACTCCCGAGCGCAAACATCTGCATCTCAGTCACTGATATCGGCTCACACTCGCTGGGACCGCGGATATGTCGGACAGATCAGCCTCGCCAGGCGAGACGTACAAATCGTACCCTTGCAGGAGCATAGATACCGAGTCTCAGATCAGACAGTGCTTATGCCTCTCGGATGCTCGGGGACCCAGAGTTCTCAGATCTCGCGATCACACCCTCCCAGAGCTTTTGCGTCTGTCTAGAATTTTCTTGTGGCCTCGTCCATATTCTGCCGAGACCACGCTGATTGACTTCACTGCAATGGGCCAAGTTCTGACTCACTTGGGGCGGCCAAAATATATGGATGACCCACACAGAAAAGTCCGCACGCAGCTTTGCGATGGACCAGAGCTTGTGACTTCAAGGTTATCCGGATACGGTCAAGGTCTCCTGAGTGCGTATGTAAGCCCGGGGACCTCGCAATTGCTACACTCTCCAACCCAGCTTTGACATACAACGCCGGAGCAGCCAAGCTACGTACCCCAACTGAGACCACATTGGGCACAGAGGCTTCCTGGAGCAGCCAGAGAGAACCACGCAAGAGAGCCAATCATCGGTGGCAGTTACCAAGATCGAATTGCTGCTGCGGCAGTAAATGTCGAAGATGAGATCAGCTAGTCGCCATCTCCGCTCCGAAAGAATTCACCGTCTTTTCAGACACACCGTTGCGATACCTGATTGTCATTGATACTGCCTTTCAAGAGCACGGTCGAAGTGGGTAGCGGCCAGTGAATCAGCAGATGACTACAACCAGAGCTCAGGAATACTTGCATTGGTACTCAGCAACTGGACCAGATGCGCGATGGAACAATGTTTCCACGCGATAGAAAAGTGATCCGAACCACCAGCGACCTGGACGGTCGACTGACACAACTAGACATACGCATGCCCAGGGGGAAGGCCAGGGACGATACTGGACCGAGATGTAGTGATGTATGCAATGGTCTCCATGATACCGACGCGCGAGATCGAACTTGGTACAATGAGCCAGTGTGATTCAGACACATTCGATTCTGCGTCGGTCCTCATCCACCCAGTGACTGCGATTCGGAAGTGTCTGTGGTTTTGAGGTGCGTGCGGCAATCCGATAGACACAGGTTTGAAAGCTAGCACTGAGCAGATAGTGACTGGAGAAGACGATAGACTCCCATTGACCGATTTGATGATACATCTTCGCCAGCTCTTCCTCGATACTAGATCAACGACACGCATGGAGGGAATCCACAAGCAAGATCTTTGACTGGAGTATGAGGGTGAGGGACCCGGGATTATCGTTTCTGATAGCGCGAAGCAGCATCCCGGGTCGTGATCTATGGATGCCAGAGGTGTTCAAGAGTATCAGGGCGGCGTGCTTGATGATATGCGGTCGCGGTGTCTTCATCTGCATTGGCACTAAGACGGACGACGGGGTTCGCAAGTGAGAGAATTGGACAATACGACGGGAATATCTTGTCAGTGATCAATAAGCATCAGCAGGAGACCACTGCAATCGTCACACCAAGAATCGCTGCGAGCAGTCGATGCGCGGACAGACAGACAAGCCCCTCTCGTTGCACAAGACATCCCTGTTTCATTCGATAGGACATCCGACTGGAACATTCGCGCATGAAGAGCTCCGAGAACGAAGAAGTCTTGGATTAATGCGCCAGCCAGAGAGCTAAGGAGCCAGTTATGCGCGTGTGGCTTGGAGCTCGTGCTTTGCGTGCATCCAATGAAAGTCCATGGCGAATATCTGCCTCAACCCAGCTTCCTTTGGTCTGCTGCTACCGGTGAAGGGAAGACGGCGGGCAGCGGGCCCAGCTGATGACAGATGTAGTGGCTGAGGCCAAAAATATTTCATTTCCATCCTTTGAAAATTGGCACACAAATGTGTCATTTTGGGACAAATTCCAGGATAAAGAAAGCAGTCCCTTCCTAAGCCCGGATAGGAACATGGAAAAGGCTCATTTCCTGGTCTCCTTTCACAAGACGAATGAAATCCCAGAAACTCTTCCTTTCCAGCAGGCGTTTGTTGGAAGTTCTGCCCACTAATTTCGATCAACTTTTCTACGACATATATTTACACAAAAGTCGAGTCTTTCCGGCAAACTTTCTGTGCGCGCGGAGATAACGTCATGCCCGATGTGCTCGTGTCATGATCTGTACCTCCACTGAGCTGTGGTATACAGCCCCGTATACAGCACACACTCGAGGCTCCGCGACTCTACCGCTCTCAGCACTCTGACTTCCAACCTCAACAACGGTCATCTACCCAAGATCCTGCTCCTCACATGAGCCTGCAGTCAATCCTCTGGATGGTAGGCTGCCTGCGCACGGCCTTCACTTGCTTGGCCTGACACAGACGCTCAGCTCGTTCGACACGGCCAGAAGTTCATGGTATACCCGTCTGCTTACGAGCCCAAGCCGCGTAGTAAGTGCATCTCCTTCATGCCAGGAGCCGGGTCCCACGGCGCTCACTCTCAGCCCACGCACTGCAGGCATATTCCTCCCCTCCGAGCTCGGTCTCGCATACACGAACCTCGAGCTGCGCACGTCCGACAAAGTCAAACTCAGATGCTTCTTCCTGCGGTACGCCGACCAGTCCGCGGCACGAATACGTCAGTGCACACACGAGGACATCATTGAGGACGAGGCGCCGCCGGATTTCCCTGTACGCAGCGTGGCGTGGTGTGTGGCTGGTGGGAAGCTTACGACGCGTGCATATAGAATACGGGGCAGCTCTCTGCTGGCACGGTTGTCGTGTTCCATGGGAACGGGATGAATTGCGGGGATATGAGCTTCGCAGCGAAACGGTTCTTATTCGGTGGATGTGATGTGCTCATCGTGTCTTATCGAGGGTGCGTCGTTGCGGCTGCTGGAGTTAGAAAATGCTGATCCTGGAGGAAGGTACGCAGAATCTGAAGGCAGCCCACACGAGAAGGGTGCGTGCCACTGGGAAGTCCATGTATATGCGTCCCACGTGCTTACCTGAAAACCCAGGCCTGCGGCTCGATGCGCAAGCTGCATTGGACCACGTTCTCGCTCAGCCAGACCTCGCCAAAAGGCCCATTGTGCGCTCCGCGTTCGCGCTCGCAAACTTGATCAGTTCTCACTGCGTGCACAGATCCTCTATGGCACATCTCTCGGCGGAGCCGTCGCCATCGACCTCGCAAGTCGCAATCCCGAGACCGTCTCTGCGATCATCGTCGAAAACACGTTTCTCTCCCTCCCTCGCGTCGTACGCGACTGGCCGGTCATCGGGCCCTTCTCATTCCTGTGCTTCCAGCGCTGGGACTCGGCATCCAAGATCAAACGAATTCCGCGCAGCACACCCATCTTGATGCTCAGCGGCGCTCAAGATGAGATCGTGCCCCCGAAGCACATGTCGGCGCTGTGGGGTCTGGCGCAAAAACGGGGTCCCCAGGGCTCGCAGAAGGAGTGTGACCGATTCGAGTCGTTCGAGGAGGGCTGTCATCGTGCGTTTGCTCTGCTCTACTCGCATCCGGCCGAGCTGATGCATTGCTGAAGCGGATACTTTCACATGTCCGGGCTATTGGGAGAAAGTGGGCGAGTTTCTGCGGGTCGTGAGTGACAAGCACGGGACTCGATGATCTCTAGATCGTCATGTCTCCAAGCCCGAGGCTCAAGCCTTGATGATGGATGTCACTTTCGATTTTGCACATACTAGTCAGCGTGGATCGGTGGGAAGCAATGTAGAATTCTCGGCGGGCAAGTCAGATTGTGGAGAGTGTTCTATATTTGGGGTTACCGGGGACACATTGGGTCTTGAGCACGGAATCTGCCGGAAAGACCAGGGTATCTACTAGATATCGTGGAAGCAGTCATTAGCGAGACGATGCGGCTCCAGACTCTATGCTTCAGGCTCAGCGGTTTCGAACGTGAATGAGAAGAGACACCAACTTCACCTGGCTCAGAATGAGTCCAATTCGCTAATTCGTGCAAAGTTTGTCAACATGCTCAAGAGAGAAGCGTAGAAAACGAGATTCTCAAAGTACAGAATGGGCGCCTTCACGTCAGAAGGACATTTCAAAGTGAAATGACCGTTTCTAATCCATTCAAGTCTGCAAAGTGGACGTGAATGAGTGGCGATCCTTGCTTTTCACGAGGTGCCAGCAAAAGTTGCTTTTTGGACTTGTTTGGAAAAAGGAAATACATCGTGTCCACTACATTTCTCATGTCCCTGGGTGTTTTTCTTCAAGGAAAGAAACATTTACGCTGTCGTTGAGATTTTAGTATCTTGTCGTGAATATTTTTAGATTTGTAAACTTTGCCCTAGCTGTTGCGATTGTGCCTGTGAGCGGATGTCGACCCTAGTTTGCGAGAATCATCGTCCTCGTCGGAGGGAGATCATCAATGTCGATCTTAGAGAATGAATGATGGCTCGAAAGGACAGTCTAGGGCCGCTCATCTGTGAGCACTAGCAGATCCGTTCAATTCTCGCCTCTTCGAAATCACCTTCCTCAAGTTGCGAAATCAACGATGTGTATATCAAATCCTTCGGTGTTCCCAGATTGCTGGCTTAGCAAGATCCAAGCTTGCCCGAGGCTAGACACTAATCCTTCCAAGCTTCTTTCTGGATTGACGAAGCACCGCACACTTTGATCTTGTCAACAGAAACGGAAGCCCGCTCGCAGAGGACAGCTATTGAGACAGCTATTGAGTTTCTTACTGAGCTATCATCACTGCAGTTGATGCAATGATCGCCAAGTTCGAGGCGAGATGAGCGGACCTTACCGTTCATCCACACATCCCTTCATATACATAATGATATGTTGATCCTTTCATTCCTGAGATTCCACGTGACATGAGGGAAATAATCGTTACACTAGATGAATGAGATGGTGTCTATCTAGGTCGAATTAGAGCGGTGGTATGCGTTTTTTGCTATAATACATTGATAGGGTCGTAGTTTTCCATCATGAAGCCTCCGCAATCACACCCTTCTCGGCAGTATCCGCATCCGCCTTGGGCTTCGCTGCAGCCGAGGGGACAGCGATTCGAATATTCTTGATGAACATTGCGGAGATCAACGCAAGCCCTGCAACTGGGACACCGAGGATGAACACGATCCTGAGCGCCTCCTGATAGCTGCGCACGACGCCCGGGATCAGTGCCGGGTCGAGCTTGGTGTAGATGGCGGTCGGGCTCTGCGCGACGATGGCGACCGGTGCATTCGGCGCGTACTTGACGAGGAACTTGCTCAGCTCGGAGGCGAACACGGGCTCGGCGACACCGAGGCCGAGGGTTCCACCAAGGAACTGTGCGAAGGATGCCATGGATGTCGCTTGGCCGAGGATCCGGGGCGTGTCTTTGAATTCGACCTGGATCGCGAGCAGCGAGTTCTGCATCCCCATGCCGATGCCAACGCCAGCGAGAATCTGAAATCCGACGATCTTGGCTGAGGACGTCCCGCTGTTGAGTGTGTAGAGCAAACCGGAGCCGAGCGCTAGGAAGACGGGGGCCGAAAGGATGAACGGCCAGCTGCGTAAGGGATGTGGTCAGGCATTGAAGAATAGCGCGAGCAACGCGAATAACGCACTAGTATCCGAATCGTCCCACGAGCTGACCAGAGCTGATCACGGTCACCACGACACCAAGCATGAAGGGGAGCAAGTCGATGCCGGATTTGGTGGCAGAGTGGTGGCGAACAGCTTGGTAGAAGATCGGAATGTAGTACGAGAACAGCAGCAGCGAGAACCGGGTGAGGAACGAGTAAAACAGAATAGCATAGCTGAGAATGACGTCAGTACGGACCTTGAATACCAAGAAACGCAAAACGTACACAGAGCGCGACTTGAAGATCGCAGTCGGGGTCATGGCACGTTCATCCAGGCGGATCTCCCATGCGATGAAGGCAGCGGCCAATACAGCTGCAAAGACGAAGGACTGGGAGAACGGCGATCAGATTAGAACGGAAGAGGCTGACAGCACGCACTATGATGACGGCCTTGTCACCCCACGGCTTGGTGTTCCCACCCCACTGGAGGGCGAGGACCAGCGATGTGATGCACCCTGCAATGAGCGTTGCGCCGACGTAATCTAGACGCAGAGTCTGGTGGAGCAGATCGGACCATGTGCGTCGTGTGGGATCAGACCCGAGAGGAGGGGACGCCTTGAGCAGGAACACGACACCTGTCAAAGACAAACCTCCGCTGTTGCCGGGCGGTGAGCTGAATGCATGCAGTCGGAAAGGAGGCAACTTACAGAGGGAGATTGATGAAGAAACACCACCGCCAGCTGACGTGGTCGGTGAAAGCCCCACCAATGAGCGGCCCAATGACGCTGGAGAGACCGAAGACTGCGCCGAAAAGACCAAACAGTCGGGGTCGATCTTCGAGACGGGTTGCTTGCGAAATGACTTGAATCAGAGCAACAACTGGAACGGGGTTAGCGGAATGATCGAATGCAAGGCACCGCAGCCACGCACAGATTCCTGCCGCGCCGACACCAGACACGGTGCGGCCTGCAATCAACTGCCCAACGTTCTGAGACACTCCGCACACAAGCGAACCCAGCTCAAAGATCACGACGGCGGTGAAAAGGACCCATTTTGCGGGCCAGATGCGGAGGACCTGGCCGTAAAAGAGCAGGAATACGGTCTGCGCGAGGACAAAGGAGGTGGAAACCCATCCCTGGAGTGTGAACGCGTTGAAGTCGGAGGCAATTCGGGGGAGGGCAGTCGCAAGAATCGTCTGGTCGAGTGCGACCAGAAGGAGTGAGAGTAACCTGGAGTCAAGAAGTGTCCATCAGCAATGGGGCGACAACGGAAGAAGCGCGGAGCTAGTGCGTACATGGCCACGAAGACGATTGCAAGCTTCTTCCCCGTCAAAATCGTGCTCTGGTCCACTGGAGGTGGTGCGGCGGCAGCCTTCTCATTCTCCTGAATCTCGACGCTGGCGAGCGTATGATCGGCCGATTCTCGGAGGGAGGTGGTCGTAGACATAGCGGGTGGAGGAGCGGGGGATGTCGTAGATGAAGACGCACTGATCGAGAACCTCAGCCGTATTTAAGAAGGGAGAGAGATCTGAGTCAATGGCGGCTAATGCACGCGTATATTCATCTTTTATTGAAGTGGCCCAACGTTTGACGAAGTCGGGTAAACGGCCGGCTCGGGCCGAACCGAATAAGGCTATGTTAGCATCCTTACAGTTTCAAGTTAATTCGGGCGCTGAGGGTCTAGCTAGGCAGTGCATATTGGATGCCTCAGCTGACACCGGCTTCTTGGAGAGTATTCCGAGCACAGTAACTGGTCAAAAGCAGGCTCACTGCTTGATGCACATCAACGGCATCGTCCAAAGAATGTCCAAAAATTAAAACAACTTTATGACTCATCTGTTCTGACACACTCTCCTCCTGGGTAATCGGCACAAACGGTTACCCAGCCATCTGATAAGATTACATCATCTTTCGAGGGGAAATTACGAAGTCGGAGAGCTATCCGAGGACGAGTCACAACAAGTCGGAACGACCAGCCGTGCCGGTGGAAGTCGTCTACGTACTCCCATCGAGGATGACAGGTGGCGGTGAAACTCTACATCAGTCCCCGTCATGACGTACGTGTCCTGTAGTATGCTGTTCGGTCTCAAATATCATTATGCTTTGCTGGGACCTTTACTCTCCTCTCCGTATCCGTCGCACTAAACCCCATTGCAAATGATCCTGTCCTATCAAATTCTCTTCCACCGACCCGGCTTCACATTCTAGGCGATTCCACTTTCCATAGTGTGTATCAAAGCACGAGGCTTTAGATATAACTGAGATCTCGTCAGCAAGAGTCCAAGCTCCTTAGGAACGCCTCCTGAGCGAGCATTTTGCCATGGAATAGGAAAGAAGCCAGAAACCAGGTGGACCTGATGGGATATCGGACTGGGGCGGAAGCCTTTCCGAAGCGGCACGCCGCACGTTGATTCTGAACAAATATCTCAAGCCCTGAATCAATTGGTATGTCCGCCATGCGCCATGGAACAATGGATCTACAGTCGTTTCCAAAAACATTGCCTATTCCGTACTCCGAGGCTTCGAATGACAACTGGGGCGTGATGACATGGAAACGTTGGCCATTGTTCGTGCCAACTGGAATTTGCGCGGGGCAGCTTTAAAAGCTCGCACTTGGTCTTCATATGTGGTTACACGACCTCATGTCTTTCCTCATCGACTTGTGCTTGGAACTGCAGCAGAGCATCCTCGAACATCTCTCGGATAGTCCCGAGGCACTCTCCAGTATAGCCTTGTCCTGTCAGTCATTGCACGAACCAGCTACTAGTATTCTGTGGCGACGAGTGGAGGGATTCCAACAAATCGCCTCCTTGTTTCCGGAGGACAATCCTCTAAGGATCAGCCCATTCTCCCTGGTGTGTTTTTACTATCTTCAGCCAGTCCCTCGAGCTATTCTGACACGTTCATATTCCAGTCGGAGTACCAGAACTCTCGCGATTTCACCGAAGACGAGTTGGGGAGGATCTCTCACTACTGCAATCTCGTCAGACACGTCGAACGCGTCTACACGGAGGACCTGTGTCTGATGCTGGAGAAGCTTCCCTCCGACAGGTTCCCCTATCTGTTCCCAAACCTGCGGTCTATCGAATGCCAACACTTGTGGACCCGTGGATCCGATCGTATCCTCAGCCCGAGCGTTGTGCGGAACTGTTTCACGACGCGCGGATACCACACGTGGTCAATTGATCCCTTCATGATCCCGATCGCCATTGAAGAAGAGTCCTACCCGCTGCTCACGCATCTCGAGTTCCAGCTATTCAACCGGGCCTTCCGCGGAGAGTTCGCGCTGATCACCCGCTGCCCGAACTTGCAGTATCTGGAGGTGTTTTCGGCTGACGGACCTATAATGAACCATCTCGCTCAGCTACCCAATCTGCGCGTTCTGCGCTTCCTGTCTCTAGAGGAGATGCCGCCCACCTTTCATACGGTGGCTCCCTTCCCTTCCCTTGTCGAGCTGTTTTTGGGCGAGACCACAGCGCAGAGTGCGACGAGCTTCTTGCATGCAGTGTCGTCGAGCTCTCTGACCACCATCCAAGTCGAATTAAAAGATCGAAGGATCTCTTCGGTTTCTCTGGACGCGATGGTTCATTCGCTGGTCAACCACCATTCGAAGAACACCCTGTCCGACCTCGACTTTTTCACGGAGTTTTATAGGATGGAATGTTCTGTCGGATTGTCTACGATCCTTCCTTTTCTCCAGCTGCCGAACATACGATCGTTCCGTTGGAACATCCCATTCCAGGACCACGACGACCGAATGTGGCCTCGCTGGATGAAGATCGAAACTTTTCCTCCCTATCCTTCGTCCAATAGCACCAAACCATACATATTATACAATCCTCGGCTGTGATTTTACATTGAACTCTTTTACTTGCTATAATTCAAAATCATCATTCACGTGAATCAGCGTTAAGGATCAGGTGATCGCGTTGTATCCAGTCAGTAGGTCACATAAGTCGAAACTTGGATTTCAGCGGAATTCCTGCATGGACAATGGACAGGGGTCATAATCGGACGATCTTTCCACTTAAATCGGCACAGTTCATCCAACTCAGGCACCCTAGCGTTCGAAGTGCTTGGATGAAATCGTCAGGATCGGACTTCGTCTTGGTCAGTTTCTCGAATCTGCAGGAGAGTTATCGTGTTCTGATCTCACCCTTCTCATCCGGGACGGAAACGATCGATTGCTAATACTTGATATTCTGCAATGCGAGAAGCTGCGGACCAGGCTCGTTGTCCCGAAGATAGAAGCCAGTTATGATGATTCAAGTTGAAATAGGAATGAGTATCTGAGGCTGGCAAGTCGAAAGAGTGAGCGAACAATGTCCATATGAAACACTAGACTCTTCTTTCTGCAGTTTCTCTCATAGATCTAGGCAATGCTAGCTTCATCCCTTCTCATTCAATCCGCACGCCCATTGACGAGACCAGAAATTCCAAGTGTAAGTTCAAGTGAGGGGAGTGTTCCCGTAGCCGATGTCATCCGCAGAGTCCCAAAATTATGCGAGTAATGCAACGCATACATCGTCACTCATTCGGCATCCGAAAGTAGTCCCTCAGCAGCAATGGGCCTTCAAAGCTTCACCCATCAGGATTGTAACTCGACCTTCATTTCGCGAGGCTGCGAGCTCCTTGCTGCACTCCGAGAGTATGCCGTTGGTGAAAGCGTCACCGATGAACACGAGTTCCTGGAGTTTGGGTACGACAAGATGACCGAGGATTTCCGGATGGGAGATGTATATGTGTGTCAGTGAAGAAAACCGGATTAGAGTATGCTTCGAAGGTGTTCGAATTTCCCGTGGGACGACGAAAAGTTTTGCGCTCGCCAGCAACTCCAGCTGCGGTAGAATCGCTGCGTGGTCAACCCAGAAAGCGTAGCTTCTTAGCGAGTCAACTGGCGATATGGAAGAGAGATATCGTCGGATCGTATCGTAGTCGGCGATCGAAGGTGCCGCCGGGGCGTCGAAGAGAGGAAGCAAGCTCGAACCAGCCCAGGGGTTAGGTGTCGGGATGCACATGGTCCGGCACAATCGTGCGGGAGGCTCATGATACAGCTTGGAGATGAGGGAAAGTATGCGCGATGAGGGGAGAAGATCGAGCTTCATTCATCGCGTGGACGAAGCAGCCAATGTATCGAAAACAGCAGCCTACACATCGGAGTCGGTGCTTTGATCACAACTCTGAAAGTGAACCGAGAACGAGGAGTCCCGCTTGAGCTGCATCTGAATCAGCGGAATGAGATATGCGTGCCTTGATTCAAACGGCATGGGGTACGACGATCTGAAGTCTACGACGATGTGGAAACAGAGGCTCGGTGTCTCACACACGACAGTCCGCCATCGACGATAGATATGTGTCAAGACCCAAGAGGCATACGAGGTTGAGAGCAACTCTTCCTCTCAGGGCTCTCATGTGGCACCCGCCGCACACTGTTCCAGCAGCGTCGCGTTCTCTTGTGAAAAGAGTTTGAGACGGGCACACACTCCGCCTCCATTATAGCCAGCTCCACTCTTTTCGAATCCATTCTAGCCTCCGGTCGTACGATCTCCGCGTTGGTGTCTGATACAAGCGAGCGGATGAGCACCTCCTGAGAGTCGAAAGGGATCGCGTTGCTAGTCGGGAGCCTGAGCAAGCGAGAATTAATCCAGCCGGACACAAATGAATTGAGGTATAGCGATTTGCGCCGTTTCTGAACTGCAGAACTCGCACGATACGATTGTCGACATGGGTCGAAGGACCAAGATGTGTGGCAGGGCTTTCGACTTGGCACTGGATTCTCAAGTGACCCAAAGAGTCACAGACAGAAACTTTCAGCTCTTCATATCTGCTGTCATGCAGCCAGATTGAGTCGTGAGATAAATCTGCCTACCTACCTATTTGAAGGCCAGGAGGAAACCGATTCGAGGTGCCAAGTCATCGGCTGGGACGTCACGATTAAGGGTCTCATGGTCTCAGGATGGTCATATACGACACTTCAGCTGTAATCATGCATTGCTCTAAACGAGCGGACTGTAGCGAGTCGGCGCAGGCATTAACAGGCACGAATAGTAGGGCACGATCGATTCGTGCTGCGTCTGGGTCGATCAACTGCGCTGCAGATAGGGATCACTACCGAAAAGTGTGGCCTCGATTCGTGGAGTAAGTGGAGGCGAGATGCAGCTAGACGATAATACTTAATGCCGATGTCCGAGCAATCCGAGTAATCAGTAACTAGTATTGCGGCATCCATCCGCATGGCCACCTCTCAAGATTCACGCATATATACCCGGACGATGATCAATGTAGGTCAACGCGAAACAGGCAACGACTCGGTTATCCAATTCAAGGGCCGTTAGTCAGTCGATTCCTCGACGCCGAGGAAAGGCGAGGGACCCAATGCGCCGAGATACGTAACCTCTACCTGGATCCCAGCATCCACAAACGGCCCCAAATCCAGAGGTCGAGATCTCCACGGTGCTTCACAGTCTAGAGTCATCGAAAAGCGACGCAAGGACGTCTTGGCGGTCGAATTGAGCTTCAGGAAGTCGACCCAGAGATGTGTAGGGACGTCCTGGCAATCCTCCAAGACGACTGTGTGCAGATTTGGCCAGGAGAAGCTGCCTGATGCGATATCGTCGCCGAGAACATTGATGACGTTCACCACACAGCTGTGACTGTCGGCGTCGTCCCAGATGCAGCATCTAAAGATGAGGGACTCGATGCGGGGGAAGAGCCTGAGGACTCCGTACATGTGGTCCGATGGGAGAAACCATGGTGCTGTGCACAGCTCGCGAAGCTTGGGAGAGCGACAGCCGAGGACTGAGAAAGCAGAGAAAGGGATCTCCGCGATGTCAGAGCGGTCGGTAGGCAGTGTGAGCGAGACGAGCTCCGGACAATCGAGCACGGTGAGAAGCCTTGCGAGCAGTTCGGTCGCGATGGTCGAGTCGTTCAAGACAGCCAGCGTGCGCAGACAGGGAGCACGGACCGTGTCTGGCATGCCCTCAAGACCCGTCCGGTCGTAGTTGACATTCGCCTCCAGAACTCGGAGCTGGGGAAGCTCACCGAGAATCTCAAAGACAAGGGCGAGCGTGGGCTGTGGTTCGGCGGTATTGAGAGATGCGAGTTTGACCGAGACGAGACAACGCGACCAGAGAGGCAGGGTCTCCACCAATAACGGAGAGTATCCGAGAACAGCAAGAGTGCGAAGAGATGGTCCTTGGACACAGGGCAAGAAATGAGTGCTTGAGCTCCATCGCGAATTCAAGTCGTTGAGCGCCAGATGCTCGAGATTGGCTATATCGATGGGGAGCGAACCTTCTACCTCTAGATCTGACGCATCGATGTGGGTGAGTTCGAGGCGACGAGCACGGTGCGTATGTTTTGCAACGATTCGGAAAGCCGCTTTCGATCCCGTAGTCATGCAACCGTTCTCATCAACCCACTCATCCTCATCCTCTTCAAGGCCCGAACCGGGCTGCACACCCCGAACAGACAATGACAATGGCAGCTCTCGCGACCGCTCCAGCCACTGTCGGAGCAGCCGACGACGCTCCTCACTGTACATCAAATACACAATCGGAACGTGGACCGAACACCATAGCCTCGGCAGCGCTAGTGCAACAGTGCGCCAGCGACGACACACATGCGTCAGCAACAATGGGCACTCTGTCATTGCCAGTAGAGCGTTATGCTTCTCCGGCAGACATGCGATGAACAATGTCTCTAGAAGTTCGGTGGGTAGACGGCGGAGGGGTGAGGCGAGTCCACGGTGCGTGTCGACGCATGCGCGCAGGGCGGCGCGCTCGTCCATGAGGGCATCGATTTCGGCCAAGCGGGATTCATATGGCGCAATATGAGAACATATGCTGTTCAGATATTCGTCTGAGGGTGGATCGTTCGATCGTATGAGCCGCACAAAAGGGGACGGTTTCATTGGGTGGGTATAGTTCGGAGGGCCGAAAGGTCCAGTGGGAGATGGATACCCCATCCGAGATGCTCGCGTCATGGGTACTACCAGTCGGAGATGTGGGGCTAATAAAGTGGCTTTCGGGTTCTACATCCAGTGAAGCATGATCGAACAGCTGTCTGGTGAGCAACTGGCAGTCGCGGCACTGGAAGAGGTAAACGGTAGATGCGGCACACGTGACATATCCTAATCATCGGCTTTTCGGCTTGCTGATGAAACGGTTCGGGTGGCCCGGGGGGATGATAATACAACGGGCTGCTCATTTGGAGCACTAGGTGTTTCCCATACAGGACTGAAGACCTTTACGGGCACGGAAATTGCAGCTCTCATTAAAAAAGTCGAGACTCATTGGAAACACCAGCCTAACTAATTAGTTTCGGATGTGCAAATTTCGCAGCTCACTCGTGCTCTTGGAGCCCATGGTTGAGACTCGGGCGTACTGCTTCTCGCCGCTCCCACTAGTGCTTCCACGAAACTTGTGCACGCGTGTACTTCCCCCGCTATCTGTTCCTTCCAACCCAACACATGCCTCGGCTTCGCCTTCTGCTCCTTCCCATGGTCACCCTCAGTCGTAATTTCAGTCGCTTGATGTTCTGTCATTATGGATCCCGATCGAGTTTCTTCGTGGGAAATTCGTCGGGGAGAAGTGCTGACGGTGATCATCGGTGTCTCGACAATCCATAGAGGTAGCAGGGCAACTCAATGTTTGTGTTAGTACCTGACCGACGAAGCCCATGTTCAGCATATTGATCTAGGCGGCGTTAAGCCAGAAGCATGTAAAGAATCAGCAGGATGACCTGCAATCAATCATCACCGTCAGCACGATGTGCGATAGACAGTAGACAGCTTGGGAGCGCGTCAGGATATAAAAACGGGCTGTCTTCTTCCTCCAAACGCACGGCCGTGGGATCATGCTCGGAATCATCGCCAGTCTTCTCCTCCTTTTCCTGGTGACAGACCGGTCTCAGGCGTCTATCCACTCCGGCCCCAGTGCCATCAATGACCTCAAGCACTCGCCAGACTTCATCATTGTTGGGGGTACGTGCCAGACCGCACCTCGAATTTCAGTTCATCGAGAGCTAACTTCGATTGATTAGGTGGAACAGCAGGCTCTGTCGTTGCCAACCGACTCTCGGAGAACCCGAATGTCACTGTGCTGGTGCTGGAAGCAGGGATCTCGTGAGTGATATCGTTTGCATGGAAGGACAGGTGGTGAAAGGATATACCAGAAACGCGGGGATTCTCAACATAGAGGTCCCCTTCTACTGCGTCCAAGCGTCTCCCCAGACGTCTGTCGATTGGAACTTCACGACTGTTCCCCAACCCGCACTCAACAACCGATCGGTGGCGTATCCGCGAGGCTTTGTTCTGGGCGGAAGTTCATCGACTAGTGCGTGTCTTTCCGCTTTCCCCTCTCAGTATTGATCTTTCATCCAGATTATATGTTCTATACACGGGGAACGAGAGACGACTATGATCGGATTGCGAATGTGACGGAAGACGAGGGCTGGTCTTGGGATCATCTCTTTCCGTATATGCTCAAGGTGTGCCTGATTTTGTTTGCTGCGGGGATCCAGTCGTGATGAACGGTGTTATTCGTTCAGAGCGAGCGGTGGACGGCACCCTCGGACGGCCACAACACGACGGGCCAGTTCGATCCTTCCGTGCACGGATCTTCAGGCATCAATTCCGTGGCCCTGAGCGGTTTCCCGTCCGACATCGACTCTAGAGTCATTGCCGCGACCAAAGAGGTAACGGGAATGCCGTTCAATCTGGACATGAACTCGGGCAATCCGCTGGGGATAGGTGCGTCGGTCGGATCTTAGTTTAAGCATTCTAGAGCTCATGATCGAGGCGAAATAGGATGGAAGCAAGACACCGCTGCGAACGGTCTCAGAAGTAGCGCTGCGACATCCTATCTCGCGCCCAACTTCATCAACCGACCCAATCTTCACGTGGTCCTCAACACTCGAGTCACACGCGTTCTTTCGCATAAAGACGCGTCGTCGTTCACGACCGTGGAGTACATCACAGCCCAAGGTCGGTATCGGCATGCTCATTCAAGCACATGCCGTCTGACCGTGCATCAGGGAATCGATCCACGATTACGGCAGGAAAAGAGGTCATCTTGTCTGCCGGCGCTGTAGGCACCCCGCATATCTTGCTTCACTCGGGGATCGGGGATGCCCACGCACTTTCGAAGCTCGGCATCCGGCCCGTGCACAATCTACCATCCGTCGGCCAAAATCTCACGGACCATCCTGCCCTGCACACGCTGTGGCTGGTGAACTCGACCAACACGTACGAGACCCTGAAACGGAACGCCACCGTCGCTGCGGCGGCACTCGCAGAGTGGACTCAGTCGAAGCAGGGTCCACTGGTCACTGGCCCCGGAAGCCACATTGGCTGGGCACGTGTCTCAGGCAACGATTCGACGATCTTCGACAACACCGCTGACTCCTCTGCGGGCCCAACCTCGCCCCACTTCGAGCTCATCTTTGCGCCTGGCTCTTTGGGACCTCCCCACCGACTGGAAACTTGATGGGCTGTGCGTCGATCGTCGTTTCTCCTTCATCCCGTGCGTATGAAATTTCCCTCCCCGTCATATGGCTCAATATCGGATGTCCAGGCGGTTCGATCACACTCAACTCCTCCGACCCGCTCGTTCCTCCGGTAATCGACCCGGCTTTGCTCAAGACTGACTACGACATGGCAGTAATGCGAGCGTCACTTCGCATGGCCACCCGCTTCGCCGCGGCGCCTGCCTTCTCCGACTACGTCATCACACAGCAAGGCTACAGCCCCACGGCTACCGATGCCGAGCTGGACACGTTCATCCGCGAGCAAGCGGGGTCCATATTCCACCCCGTTGGCACCGCAGCGATGACCAAGCGAGGAGCGGACTACGGTGTGGTGGATCCTGATTTGTTAGTGAAGGGACTGAAGGCGTTGCGGGTTGTTGATTTGTCCGTCTTGGTATGTCGACGGGCCTCGGTCACATCTTGATGGGCAGTCGCTGAACTGTGTTTTCAGCCATTCGTTCCTGCTGCGCACACTCAAGCCGCGGCATATTTCATCGGAGAAAGGGCCTCCGATTTGATCAAAGCTCAGCACAGCCTGTGAGGCCCGACGGGGTTTGGTGGAACTCATGCATGCATACGCTCATTTCCTGGACTCCCTAGGATGGTAGACTTTGTGAAATCAATTCCTGTTCCGCTCACGCCAGAGAAGGTATAAGATATTGAAGATCCGTCAAGGTCAGGTGTTTTCATTTCTGCATGCGACTCGCGACCCACCTGCATCCTTCGTGCTGACCCTTGTTCCTCACCCTTTTCACGTACCTTTGTCGTGGTCGTCAGCATACACCCTGGTCTATCTTCCTTTTCGACTCGAATGGTTGGCTTCTATGAAATCTGCAGGCAGGTGGGAGAAAGAGCTGCGTCCCATTTCAACACATTTTAGCGCAGGAAGTTGAACACTGATGACACAGCATTGAAGTGAGATCGAATATGCTTGCGTTTCCTTCGACATTGTGTCTTGTGCTGCTGACAAGGCCCAGGGCATTCAGTTTCTTTCGCCCAAAGCGTATCGACTCGCTGGGGATCAAATGGGTGCGTTTCATTCACTATAACAGCCAGGGTGTATCTTTTCTCAGCCGGCCACTACAGCATGATAGACATGCCGGCAAGCCAGACAGTTCCGATCATGATGAATTGTACTGACTCTATCCATCCACCCCTAAATTCTGGCCCCTATTCGGCTTAGTCTGCAGAGATCATTCTCCTCTGGCCGACTCCAGGATGTATAGACATTGATATTTACATCCGGCAGTATCAACGGGGATAATCACATCCATTCAGTCGTTGCCATTGGCCTGTTTCATGATCAACACAGTTACTGGCGCAGGTGGGCGAAGTTCCAGTCAAATATGCTGGTAATGTTGCATCTTATGCGGTTGAAATTCTGATCATGCGGACTGCAAGAAGATAGTACTCCACCTGCTAGTGGCAATCCGACTCCGGAACTGCATGGACGGCATCTCCGCATGATCTTTCAAGTGGTACTCCTATTCTTAGATGTGACTCGTCCTATCCCGAGACATTCGCAATCTGAGTTTTTGATTAGTTATGAAAACTCCTTGTCCTGAGACATCATGAACCTCTACTGTGGCGTCACCGTTCCAGAGAATGGCAGCTCCTCACATCTCGGCCTCCTTCGAACCGCTCTGTTCGACCAAAGGACTGCGAGGGATCTCCAGAGCCGGCTGATCAGATACGAGTTCTCTCCTTTGAACGAGGTTATCGGAAATCACATACCAGGAGCGCTGTTATACGAACGGAAAGGAGACGGAGGTCAGTGTAAACGTTATATTGTTCCAAGGCGCTCGAAACAACAGTACGGGTTTCCGCTTGCGTTTTACTATCATTGATTCGGAGGTTTTAGACAGAGTTGGTTCGTCGGCACTCTGCCCCCGGAGATCGTTCACAAAATTCTGGATTGCCTGCCGCAGATGCGGGATCTCGTTTTTGCTGGCCTCACATGCCAGAGACTCTTTGAATTTCTGCGTCCACGACTGTACGCCCATCTGAAACAACACCTTCTGTTTGACACATCGTGGATGGGACGCCAAATGACTGGTTTCTTTGCCCATTTCGAATCCGCACGCACGAGATACAAGGAGGTGACTCCCGCTCGACCACAGTTTGTCGACGTCCTCGGCGGCAATCTAGACTGCATCCAGCGTGACATGCACGTTCTACACATCCTATGTCCCCTGACATCCCATTCCGCGTGTACACCTCCTGGTTTCATTGTCCCAAAACGTCCCCATGTACTGCGCAATCTAGAGCGCAAGGAGTACGTCCAGGAGCGGCTACTCCAGCGAGCCATGGGATCAGTGCAAGACCCGCAAGTTCACAAGCACCTGACACTAGGGAACATCGCTCTGGCGCGCATCTGTGCGCCCGACTCCATGGGCCGGAGGGTGGCCGGAGAACGCTTTGACATCATCTCTCACGATGACCATGATTGGCACGACGAGCTGCGCGAGGAAAAATGGGTAGATGTCACTCAAGAAACGTGTGCGGAGATCCAGCGTTTGTGGATGGTGGAGTATTTCGGGCCCATCCAGAATTGATACAAATAGGGACACATGTAACATATACTCAGTTATGTTTGATGACTGGATTCTTTTCCGAACTCTCTCTCCTCAACTCTATCACGCTTACGAGGATCATTCCTTGATGTAAGATATGTCAGATTCAGCAGTATACAGCTGAACGGGAGATTGAGCGACCGAATTCGTTCCACAAGGCTGAGGGCACTCACGCTACCCACTCGGTGAACACTCCCAGAACATATTCAATCGCTGTGAACCGAGGTGTGAAGCCTCCCGCGTCATAGTTGTCCGCTGTGTGGGATTAGCGCCCATGCACAATTTAGGTTAGTGACAACGAACGATTATAATATGACAACTGCCGCACGATCGTCAGTCAACTGTAAGTTTCAGAGACCAAGTCTTATCACTCACGCTCCATACACAAGCCTGCAATATCCCGAAGATTCCACGCACGATAAGCGGGAACCACGCCACAAGAAGCAGCACAAGCGTCGGATGGACCGTCCCAGGCCGCCGGCGAGCGTCGCCATCCCGGCGGTTATTCCGCATCGTAACCAGGATGATACCCAGCAACAGGGCATTGCCTGCGAGAAAGACTCCCTGCCCTGCCGTCCGCGTGATGCGCGATACAAGCATCCTGTTACGTGTGTCGGCTGAGTTCGGGTCCGTGTAGTCTGCGCCGGCGAGGTACGAGCCGCCGACAACGATGGCGACGTTGGCGACAATGAGCGCGGAGTGGAAGAAGACCATCGGGTTGTCGTGATAGATAACGAACGCGAGTGGCCCGAGCAACGCGAAGATCAGGCCCTTGCGCCATTTGTTGGTGTTGGGTGGGTCCCGCGGCTCCAGCCAAGATTCACCGTTCGGAAGATTGTGCTGGTGCCAGGAGATGACGAAGCGGAAGGCGCAGAGCACCTAGGCCGGGTTGTAAGGGTGCAATCAGGGAGCTGGTGATGAGGTCGCGTACCAAGGAGAAGTACCCCTCAGCTCCGAGGATCAAGAAGGCCAGAAACACGCTCGTATTCGCAAAGCCCAGCATTCCGAATGCGATTCCACATCCCTGCGAGGCAAGTCGAATCGTGACGTGGAAGAACAAAAGCGAGTAGCGGGACCGCCACTTGATGCGGTGGGTGAGGTACGCGAAGAGCATCCATGCGAAGATCCCCAGATACTACGCGGGGTGAGAACTATCAGCATAGGTAGTAGAGAAGGACATGAGAGACGGACACCGATGAGGAAGACCAGGGCTGCGCCTGCTTCGCCTGTAAAGCGGGCCATAGGGGGTGAAGGAACCAGAGGTAAGTCAGCTTAGCGCGCCCCCGCTCCTAAATATTGGAGCGGCCGAAACTGTATCTGTCACTCGCCGCTGCGGATGTGATTCGTATCCACGGCTGTGGCCAAGTAAGTATCTGCGCCGTTCTTACACCGCCTCGGTTTTATTGAATCGGGATGGAATTCGTTCGCATCGGCCTGCAGATCGCGTGGGTGTCACAAGATATAGATAGAGGGGCGTCGACTCGGATGTACCTGATTTGGAGGAGAGGATTAGAGGTGTATAACGAAGGGTGTATCGGCCAGACGAGTCGGCGCGCGGAGCCGAAGACGATGGTCACGTCCGCCGTGACCACGGAACAAAATGTGACCGAGGAGAATGAATGACGTAGAACCAAGTATGCATTACACAAGGTGCACCAGTGGTGGTCGGCCGTCAAACTCGCCGACTGGGGCTTGCTCTCAATCCGGAGAAATTGATGCTGATCTGTTTCATAGCTGAATCAATGTATACCGCACCGAAGTACACAACATTCGCAATCTTGCATGGTCCTCCGAGCTGAAAACACAACTATATTTATAACCACATGTTTTTCAAGGTCCCGCAGTAGCACCGCTTGCTCCAGACCCAGCCATTGCCACATTCTGTCGATTGCGCTTGGCCGCCTGATAAAAGAACTCATCAATGTTTTGACACAGATGCTGACCAATCGACGAACATCCTGCCTTTTCATCTCCATTTCCAGCATTGCCATGAGCAGGAACATCCTGAGTGTCTCGTTCTGCATCGCCCCCTGAAACGTAATTGTCGGCTTCTCATTCTTCTCGAAAAAGTGCTGTGTATAGGGTGTAAACAGGGCCGAGCCCGACGCGGAGCTGGACAGCGGCGTCGCCTTGAATGAATGAGCTGCGGGGATTGAAAGTCTCTGATATGATTAGAGACTTGCCACAAGCGAGTGATGTCTATCGTGCCACTCCAAGCGATATGCAAACTCGTTCCAATGCCATTCTCGTGCCCTGGATTGTGAGTCAGTTCTTTACACCTGCTCACAGATTCGACTTGCGAGCCAAAGAGCCCGGGCCGCTCCTTCAGTCTGGCCCACTCCCGACCCACGCCGTCAATCATGAACTCCTTTCCTCGCCAGTCGATCAGCCCCGTCGTCCCTCCCCGCGCTGCAGTAATAGTGGTGAGTTTGCGGCCCCGGAAGAATCCTTTCGTTGTGCTTAGTGTGTACAACGGAGTCCCGGTTTCGTCCACGATCTGGCAGTCCTGGCATTCTTTGTGCGTGAACGTGAGTTTCCCGGGCATCGTGGGGGGAGTGAAGCGACGCTGGCAGCTGATGTGAGCTTGGCCTGATAGGGGGTGGCAAAGGCAGCACCGACCACCGAGCGTGATTCTGTCGTGTTAACAATCTAAAGTATAGATCGGATGGGAAGATCAATGATTTCTTGAGGAATCGCTCGATCCTCCCATGACTTCTGGCTGGGAAACAATGCCTGATGGTCTTGAACAGAGACTAACAGAGATCTACATCTGCGATTGTCGCTTTGCCATGAAAACGGGATCAGAGACAATCTGGGGGAAGAATGTGACTGAGTGAATAAGAATGGCGACCGGAAACGAGGACCGCATCACAATCCACGAGTGGACTCCACAACGTCCGCGTGCATTCTGCATTCTGCATCAGCCAAAAGGGCCCTTCTCGGTCGCCGCTTTCTGGCTGAAAGTCATATTCCAGCTATAGTTGAGACAGGAAAGCATGTCGGATTACTGACCGATGGACTCCATTCATCCTCCGAGTTATGCTTGTTCGCCAGCCTCAAATTTCAGGTTTGGATCCTGCAGATTTTCGGACCCACCTTCTCACCCCAGGGACCTCCAATTATTATGTAAAATGGCTTTGAGGCCCCCTCCGGAGGCCATCAAACCACCCCCTACCCCCCCTGATCGGAGGCCATCCTGGAGGCACCTTCCTAATTGGGACGCTGCCTGGCCATTTGTCCACCGCTTGCATGGTATGCTAGGGATTGGCCTGAGTGCTGATATATGCTGTAGTAGTCAGTATAAAGCCTCAGACAATGTCTCACTTCACAAAAGCATGTATTTCTTGCTTGCAAATGGCAGACCACTGGGTGCACAAAATTTGGGATCTGAGTACGTGAGCACTCCTCAGGTGCATAGAGCAACAGTATATAGATTAATTTGGGATTGAGCATGAGGTAGCTGTGCCCACACGCAAAAATGAGATGTTGCTGAAGGGATGGTTTATGGCCTCCACAACCTCCCAGGGGCAGAAAAAAAGGTGTTGGGTAGCCCACAGGCCCTTGAATCCCGCTTCAATAGAACAATTTGACGCTTATGCTTTGTCAAAACAACAGCTCAGTATATAAATTGGATGTTGGAGCAGTGGCAGAACAAGCCTCCACTGCCTCCAGGGCTGGGGATCAAAAGCGGTTACTGTAGATTCAGCCACACAAACTGTGTTCATGACATTATTTATCTTCATTGAGATGCACAGGATCCTTTAGAGCAATAGCTCAACATGTGAATTGGATGCTAGAGCAGATTACAGAAAAGCTCTCCACAGCCTCCACAGCTGGGGACTAGAAGCAGTTTCTTTGGATTTAGCGGCAGAAACTATGTGTTCAATGTCAGGTGTCTTATTTGAATGCCAAGGGTCCTCTATGGAGACAGCTCAGCATATGAATCAGATGCTGGAGCAAATGGCAGAACTGGCCTCCACTGCTGAAATGCTGAGGGCGCGCTGAAATGCTGAGGGCGTGCTCACAGGTGAATCTACTATGAAGTAAACCCAAATATAAACACGTTCACACTCCTCGTAATCAGCTTCTCAGTGTGTGAAAGATGCGAGGGCTTCGGGGTGGACAGAGCACCAGTATCACAACTCTCAATAGACACAGATCCAATAGTCGTGGAGACGAAGTCGACGACAAGAATATATATATAGCAAACAATGGTATCTCAACCAATATCTTCTATACGAACGCAACCAACACTAATCCAATCCACAAAACAACAATATAACAAGTCAGAACTTGATACGAAGTATTAAGATCCCTTGTAGCGACAGCGTCCAGATGGCGACGCAAAGTCCAATATACTGAGTCGACGCACTGCCAACTAGTAGAACCAAAATGTCAAGTCGACGCACTGCCAACTGACACAACCAAAAGTACTGAGTCGACGCACTGCCAACTAGTAAACCAAGATGCCGCGTCGACGCACTGCCAACTAACAGCCAATATCCAATGTCCAAAACCCGAGCACAACTTGTCGATGCACTGCCAAGCAAGAAGTGTGGAACCAAAGTTCTCAAGTCGACGCACTGCCAACTGTCCAAAACAACCCGAGCACAACTAGTCGACGCACTGCCAAGCTAGAAGTGTGGAACGATCTCAACAAAGCCCGGAGGCGACGACACTAAATGCCGCGACTAAACCAGATGCGGCAAATCCGACTTTCTGATGTCTCAAAACTCAAACTCAAATCACAGTAGCTACAAGTGCTCAGGGAGCAACTCGTCGCAACCGGGCAGGGGTAGCAGAACATCTTAGGGTGGAATCACGCGGCACGCAAATTGTACAAAACAATCTGAAATGAGAGTGATTCACAGTCCGGGGGAAAGCTTTTTAATACAAAGAAACGACGTGCTACTTATACTGTCTACAACGATGCTTAGTAAAGTCCTGTACAACTGCATAGTAGCTACGCTATCTAAGATCGGTTGCCTTTTAGGGTAATTGAAAAGTTGAACGATCGGACAGGTCCTGAGTGATCAGGACCCCGCCCCATAGTCCATATGATACTTTTGATGTGGGTCAACCCACCGCGTCATACTTTTGGAATACGACGTGCTGGATTGGCCAACGGGTATGTCTTGGCATGTGAGACCAACGTGGGCGCCCCAAGAAGCCGTATGGCCCTAGGCACGCCAGTCGTCCCCACATGGCTCGGTTCACGGATCTAGCCGTGTCAGCTTCTAGTGTGTTTGGGTATGGGCGCGACTCGCCGTGACACTTGGGAGTGTCACCGCGACGCGTCCACAATGTCCCGTGATCGAATGGATCCTGACATGTGACAAGTCGTTGTCGTAGCACGATCTGAGGAAACGTCCAACTCAAAACCGGGAGTTGCCGCGACAAGATGGTTTAAGTCTCGTAACGCCAAGTCCTGTCCAGTAGTAGTTCTATTATTGAGAACGTCGCGCATTGCTCAGCCCTTCAGCCCAAGTTCCCATCTGCAGAGAATGACCCTTTTTGAGAAGTCGACGCAACGACAGATCCCTTTGTGGGGAATGGTCGCGGTCCGAGCGTTCGTCACTAATGGCCCTGAGCCTGGTATAGACTCATAAGACCAGTTCCACAGTAGTGGTCTGACTGCCTTGCTATCGTCGACACTATCCACAGTTGTCGACTGGGCAGTAGACCCATAAGTCCTACTGAGCGCAACACTGTCAACCGCTGAAATGCTGAGGGCGCGCTCACAAGTGAATCTACTATGAAAGTAAACCCAAATATAAAACACGTTCACACTCCTCGTAATCAGCTTCTCAGTGTGTGAAAGATGCGAGGGCTTCGGGGTGGACAGAGCACCAGTATCACAACTCTCAATAGACGCAGATCCAATAGTCGCGGAGACGAAGTCGACGACAAGAATTTATATATAGCAAACAATGGTATCTCAACCAATATCTTCTATACGAACACAACCAATCACTAATCCAATCCACAAACAACAATATAACAAGTCAGAACTTAATACGAAGTATTAAGATCCCTTGTAGCAACAGCGTCCAGATGGCGACGCAAAGTCCAAATATCAAGTCGGCGCACTGCCAACCGATACAACCAATATACTGAGTCGACGCACTGCCAACTAGTAGAACCAAAATGTCAAGTCGACGCACTGCCAACTGACACAACCAAAGTACTGAGTCGACGCACTGCCAACTAGTAAACCCAAATGCCGCATCGACGCACTGCCAACTAACAGCCAATATCCAATGTCCAAAACCCGAGCACAACTTGTCGACGCACTGCCAAGCAAGAAGTGTGGAACCAAAGTTCTCAAGTCGACGCACTGCCAACTGACCAAAACAACCCGAGCACAACTAGTCGACGCACTGCCAAGCTAGAGGTGTGGAACGATCTCAACAAAGCCCGAAGGCGACGACACTAAATGCCGCGACTAGACCAGATGCGGCGAATCCGGCTTTCTGATGTCTCAAAACTCAAACTCAAATCACAGTAGCTACAAGTGCTCAGGGAGCAACTCGTCGCGACCGGGCAG